CAACCACCAACAGCCAACATTTAACACACATGTAGTAACATCCTATCCAATACAGATATATATCCTTGACCTTGGAATAATAATCTTGCACTCGGAACTTTAATTTCTTTGGATTCTCTTCCGCGACTACTTCACCGGCTGGGTGATACTTCCTTGTCTCTTCGCACCAACTCATTATCTACTTGTCCGCTGTCTTCTCTTCTTTTAAACAAAAATTTAAGAGTTATTATTTTCATTTATTTAAGTTAAAACTTTAGTCAAGAATTTAATATTTTATCTTACGAAGGCTCTCCCTTACTGGTTAATCTAGTTCGCAGTTATTCTTATTAGGTGGCTACCTGAACAACCGGCTTTAGGTATTTTTTATTTAAACTAAAACTCCTTCGTGTCCTTTTAAATATTTTTAAATACCACCACGGTCATCACCAGTTTACAAAATTAAATAATTATATTTTTAAAGTCATCCTTTTTTTATTTTTCTTTTGTACTAAAATATATAGGCGGTAAAAAAATACACACACACAAGCATAGATCGTCGGGTATAATGGCGCCGATCTTTAAATAAAAAAGTAAAACTATTTATTTTTCACCAGCTGTCATCTTCACGTCATTTTTCTTATCCGTATCTCGTATTTTTATTTAAGTTTTTATTTATTTCTTAAACTCGGGCTCAGTAGACTCTGATGAGAACATTGATTCAGTTTTTTTTTTTTTTAACGTTAACCAAACCATATACTTTATTCCCTGAACGGCACTATCGCTCTTGGTTCTTATCAATTTACGGAAATACATACTCGTATCTGAAAAAACTCAAGCTCTTGTCTTGCTCAATAAATATATTTAATGCAATATTATTTCATTGAAAAAAATTTTATTTAGTAAAAGTAATAATTAAAAAATAAATTTAATATATTGGTAGCAAAGAGCAGAGCGGCTCGTGTTTCGGTTTTTGAATTTCCAAGAACTGTTTGTTGAGTTTGGCGCTCTGAACAGTGATTCGGTTATTTACCACCAGGATAGCATGACTGGTTGTCAACGGTAAGGTAGTTAAGTTCTGCAGAGGATTAACAAAACCGAAGCTGAGAGCTGAGAGCTAAGAGCCAACATAACAGCTATTCCCGCTGACCAACATTGTCTAAGTCTGAACAATAAACTTTAACGTCTTTCACTATCCAGCAGCAGCAGCAGCAGCAGCACATAAAACTTGGCTGCTGGTTGAAAAAAAAAAAAAAATGAAATGTAAAGTAGAGCTGTTTCTTCGCTGTTCTCTGCCTAATGGGTATCCAATCTCGCCACTTCAGGGAGGCATCCTGCCTCAAATGAAGCAAGGACCCATGAATACCTATTTTTATTTTTTATTTCATTTTTTAATACTGGTTATTCCTATACAAATTGAAGTGGTTGTCGCTAACCGATGTCTGCTTCAAAAATAAAAAACAACTTTAAAAGATGTGGGAAAAAAAGCTTGAATTTCACCGTTTAGTAAATATTTCTCTCAAAAATTCTAAAACGTAAAAAGATTAAATTCAAAATCAATTAATTCTAGACAAATGAGTAATTCGTATCACGTTTTAATGTCCCGCTACCTTAAACTTAAATCTTTTACGAGTTAAGTACACTTGCTCGACAATAATTACGAGACAACTGGACCGGTGATGATGAAACAAACTCCCTGATGCCGATGGCCAAGTTATTTGCGACAAGCAAAACCCTCGTCGGTGGTAGTGGAATAAAATACCACCAACTGATGATCGATATAGCCCATCAGCTTCTTTTTATTTTCATTTTCTTTACTTCATCTCTTTCATCTTCAAATCTGGGCGACGATATATATTTATTCCATCCATCGAGTTATTTAAACCGCATTCCGGATCTTCATAAAAGCTTTCAAAAACGTGGGATCGATCTACCGCCAATACCTCATAATCTCTTCCGCCATTTTTCATCAGATCCATCGATCAATAACTATTCTATTGTAAATGCCATTTAATATTATCTAAAAAATTGTATTAAAAGGACATTCACATTACACTTTACAAAATGGATCTTTTTATTGATAAATTATCTAACATTATACTTGATGATAATTAATGTACGTCATGACTCAGTTACTCCTCGGAGTTTTTTTACAATTACAATTTACGTGGAGTTTTTACGTGGCGAATGCACATATATGCCGTATCAGTAACAGAATTGTCAAGTTTATCAACTGATGCGTGCGTACCCGAGTTTTAAAATGTAGGTATGTGATACCGTAGTTATAGTATATTGTGGTGTAGGATTACTCTGGTGAAATATATGATAAGAAAACTCCGCTGTCGTAAGTTGTGACTCGATAATGGCTAACGATGATTGTTATTCGGAAAATAACATACATACTAAAATAAATTACACATAGGGTTATGAGTTATGAGTTATTACAACCAGGTCACACATCGCTGATGCACTAAAGATTTTTTATATTCTTCGGTAACGCATCAGGAAACATTAAATATATAATAATATAATGTAATATTTGTCCAGTCGGCAATACGGAAACACTTCATCAAGCTTTATTGTGTCTGCATTTAAATTAGTTGTAATCTCAGTAGCTCTGTATATTAATACCGTCTTTATAAATCCAATATATCCTACTTTTTTATTAATTTTCCACTTGGTGATCTTCTACCACCAATTATTATTTTTATATTAGCATACGCATCATTTCAATATTAATATTAAATAATAGTAGTAATAATTTTCTTCTTAATTCAAGATAAAAACTATACTAAAATAATCACAATTGCTTTTTAATCATCGTTTGAAAATAAATTAAATGGGAACGTGTGAAAAGTAAAATAAAATAGATAAGAAATGGTCTGAAGAATGACTTCTAGGAAGTAGAAATAATCTTGTAACAAAATAAAAAGTAGACAAGAATTTTTTATAGTAGACGCTGCTGATATTTGAGCAAGCTTGTCTTCTAAGAAGTAAAGGGAACGGTACACATTTTTTCTTATCATACAAACAAGAAAAAACGGCTCGACTTTTCTCTAATCTGGCAAATTTGACATATTCATTTTATAATTAGCAATAAATTTAATTAGAAATGATAAAGATAAAGAAGATGATAATTATTTAAAAGGTTTGAAAAATTCCATCACAAAAGTTAGGAGCGTACCTTTGATCGATATCTCGGGCAACGCCTTCCAAAGAAGATGATGATAATGATGATGATGATGATGATGATGATGATGATGGAAGAAGCGTAGTCGTCATATATCGATCGATTGTTAAACGATCATCAGCGGCGGTGTCGGGTGTACTCTTGTCTGAGTTGTGTGTAAGATCGAATTGGTCGAATTGGTGATGATCTGACGTGTGTAAGTAGAGAGGAGCGAATCCTTTCATCGTGTCGGCCAAGAGGCCGGTTGCCCAACAGCCTGCAATTTTCAGTCTCCAAACTGGTTCCTCTAGGAGTTTGATGGTTCTTCTTGTTGGATAAATGCCGACGGCGCTAATAATAATGACCAAACCTCTAAACTCCCTTATTCGTAATCCCAAGTCGGCTTCTCAAACTCTTATAATAAGAATAATTATAATTACACTCATATTTACCTTTTTTTACACTCAAAATTATTCACAGATGCTTAAATTACAATTATTTCCCGGCTATTAAATACTCATATCATTTTCACGTAATTATTTGACGGTTTTTATTTTAAAACAATGTTTGTTATTTAAAAACTATTTATTTCTTCTTCATCTCGGGTGTGTGGTCAGATATTATTTTTTTTCTATTTAATACTATCCAAAATACTTCTTCCTGGCTCTTTAAATAAAAATAAATAAATAAAATATTTTGTCTATTTATGCCCGAGTAGTCTTACAATAAATTCAATTACCCAGGTATTCAGTGGATCCTTTTTAAGACGGTCCTATTAGACGCCGAATTCAATGGAATTCTACGAATTACACAAATGCTTATTTTTATGTACTCTTCTTTCATCTATTCAACTATTTCTCCATTCATTCTTCAAGCATTTGCATCCCAATAAATTTATAATACAAATAAATACACTCTACATTCTTTCTTCTTAATATTTTTTTATGTTTACAAAACTCTGATGAATAACTTTATAATTTATAAAAGTTAGACCTGTCACGTGCTGCCATCTAATAGCTTTATCTGTAAAGTTTTGTTATCTACAGAGCGCACATGTTCACAAGTGGCCGTATGGAGCGCCACTTCATCACAAATCCACTATTCCACTGTCAGCCACTGTTAGCCAACCCGCCTTCTGTAACAGAGGCAATTTTCTCCAATCAACAAAGAAACATAACCTCAGTTTTTAGAGTTGTTGAAACGTTTCAGTTGTGTATTAAATTTTTTTATTTATTTTTATAATTGAATAATTATTAATTATTTATTTTCAAAAGAAGTGATAAATAATTTTTAAAAATGTCTGAACGTAAAGTTTTAAATGTAAGTATTAAAATATATTTTTTATTAATTTATTTTATTAAATTAAAAATGACATTACAGTTAACAGTCAATTAACAATTTTTTAATTTTATTTATTTAAAAAATTGCATTCTTTATTTTTTTAAATTTTTAAATGTTAATTTTCTTTTGTCATAATTTATTTGCTATAAAATTTTTGAAAATTATTAAACATATGCCATGTTAATGATACAAACGTTAGTCGACGTTTTTAATTTTTTTGTAAATTATTTAATTAGTACTACAAAATATTTCTTAAAAATTGCACGTGTAGTTTTTTTTATTTTTTAGAGATGAAATTTGTTTTTTTTTTTTTATTTTTTTGCAGTAAATTTTTTAATAAAAAAATTTATAAAAATTTTTAGACTTATTAAATTTATTAGTTAAATATTTTATAATTTATTCATGTCTAACAATATTTTTTTATTTATTTCAGAAATACTATCCTCCGGATTTTGATCCATCAAAAATTCCTCGCATGAAGTTAGCCAAAAATCGTCAATACACTGTACGACTGATGGCCCCGTTCAACATGAGATGTGTAACTTGCGGAGAGTACATCTACAAAGGTAAAAAGTTCAATGCGCGCAAGGAAGACGTCGAGGGAAGTGATTACTTGGGAATAAGGATCTACCGATTTTACATAAAGTGCACGAGGTGCCTGCAGGAGATATCTTTCAAAACAGACCCTCAGAACACAGACTACGAGATCGAGGCTGGAGCTACGAGGAATTTCATGGCTCTGAAACTTGCTGAGGAGCAGGCTAAGCGCGAGGAGGATGAAAAGAACGAGGAAGAGGCTTCTAATCCGATGAAACTCCTCGAGAAGAGGACTCAGCAGTCGAAGCAGGAGCTGGAGGTTCTTGAATCGCTAGAAGACTTAAAGGATCTGAAGAGCAGGCAGCAGACTATCGACTACGATCAGATGCTTCAGCAATATGACACACAGGCTGACCGAGAGAGGACTTTAAAGGAGCAAGAGGAGCTCGATGAGCAGGAGGTACAATCAATTTTTGGCAAAAGAAAAAATATTATTAATGGGAAAGTACTGGAGGAAAAAATTGTTGTTCTCCCTGACGAGCGACCTTTAAAGAAAACCAAAACCACTGAGTTTTCGGATAACTCCATAGCTGTAAGTATTTTAATTAAAAACTAGCAGTCTTGCAGTCACTATTAAATAATGAATTTTTTAAATTGCATTGTATTTTCTTAACTGTTGACGTTTTTAAAGATATAAGCTCATCCCGATGTTACACTCATCAAGAGCTTTCATTAGAGTACCCACATGCATTTTTGATATATTTTTCATATATAGATATATAAAATATATGAAAAATACTATATATATAAAATATATAAAAATTGCCATGTGGGCACTTAAATGAAAGGTCTTGATGAGTGTAACATCCGGATGAATATATATAAATATATGAAAAATTGATGTGGGTACTCAAATGAAAGTATCTCGATGAGTGTAACATCGGGATGAGCTTATATCTTTAAAAATGTCAGTAGTTTACAAGATACAAGGTCATTTCTTAATTATGTATCGAGAGATAGAGCATTTGCGAATACAGCCTAAATAATTATTATCATAATTTTTTACTTTTTATTAATATAATTTATTTATTTCAGGACAAAAAATCCGGATTTTCATGGTCGTCGCCGGGTACAAGTAAAGGAAATGTATCGAAAAAAAAACCCTTACTTGGTGTAATTACCAAGTCGATGAAAAAAGAAGAACAGGAAAAAAAAGAAGCTCCTCCCAGTAGCGGTCTGTCGTTACTGGGAGAATATTCTGATAGCGATAATGAAGAAAACTAGATGAATAGTTATTGTAAATAAATATTTAATAATAAGTAAATAAATAAATTTATAAAATATTTAGTAAAAAAAAAAAATCGTTAACTTTATAAATTTATTCAATTAATTTGGTTAGCGTTCAAAAAATTCCTTACAGGAGGCCGCACTGAAACCTTTCCTAGAACAAAAAGCAAGATAATAAACATGTAAGTAGTTATAAATTATTTTTAATACTGTAATTTTAATTAAAAAGCATTTAATAAATTCAAAAAGAGTAATCTCTTGATTTAGGCTTGCGAGATCTTGAAGAATGATCTCGGGAAGATTTGTGTCGGTAATGCATGTTGAGTGTTTTAAATTCTCTGGCACAATTATCAACGACCTGATAAGCATAGCTGCTGACGTCGATGTGGGGGACAGTCGGATTGGGATATCGATTACGCGAGTGATAGTCTTCGCTAGTATTTAAATCACCAAAATTTGGAGATCTCTCTAGCATCCAGTTGTAGAAGCACTCAATATGTTGAGACTTTTGCTTGTACTTCTGATACTTTCTCTCCAACTCCAAGGTTCGCGCGACTTCTTCTTGGACCAGCCGAGTGTTGTAAACATACTCTGGAGTGCGGGGCTTCGGCTGAGGATCCAGGAACCGAGGAGAGGAAGGAACTGCCTGAAATACTTGCTCATAAATACTATAGTCAGCGTACCGAGGGTCCTTGTTGTTTTTGGTCTGCAAAGCCAGCTCCAGCTGGGCTATTCTTCTCTCTAGACGCGTTCGTTGCTCCTGAGCCCGTTCTTCCTGGTCCTCCATCTGCTTGACTAGCTTCTCAAGACGCGTCAGCTGGAGCTCTTTGGTATCCACCATCTCGTACAGCTTCTGTATCGCTTCCGTGTTTGTAGAAATTTCCTTAGTGACCTAGATAATAAAATAAAAAGTTTATAATTGTAAATTTATCAATTTAAAAAATAAACTACCTCTTGATCATCACTAATGCCGTGAGTTTTATTTTTAAGATAAACTATCATCTGATCTAAGACTCGAATTTGCGCAGCCTGCTCGTGGACCTGCTGGTCTCGCTGGTGAAACTTATTGACAGCCTCTGCTAAGCTGCTATCCAGCTCGATATTCTTCCGCCTGAGATCGGCTATCTCTTGACCGAGTTCCTCATTAATTTTTAGCACCTCGAGAGCTTGAAAGCCATCCTTGGGCACGTCTTTTAGATCTCCGCCGTACATCGAGGCTACTTGCTGCTCCAGATCAATCATTCTCGCCTGGCTGTAATAATTGTCTCAATTAAACGCTTAGCGATAGACTAAATCAATACACTGACAGAAGAATTTATTTGTTTCAAAAAATATTTGTTAATAGTTAACACAGTAACTAATAACATTTAAAAATTTTTCTTATTAAAAAAAAGTTTGCCTGCTAAATTGATGAAAAATGTAATTTATAAATAAATAATACTTGAATATAAATATTAAAAAAAAAAAAAATACTTGAAATTAAGATCTAAAAGTTATAAAAAAAAGGAAGCAATATTAAAAAAAAAATTAGGTATGAAAAATTTTGCAGTTACTGTGTTTTAAAATTGAGCAGCTGATTTATTAAAGACCACTTTTTAGTATTAAATAACTTAGTATTTAAAATAATTTGTTTGTATTTAATAAATCTTTTTAAATACTAAGAAATATTTGTTAAGGACTAAAAAATCGTCTCTAATAAATGATTTGTTAAATATTAACAAATATTTTTATCTATAAAAAAATCCTATCAGAGTAGACTAAATAAACTAAAATATTAACGTTGTCTCAAAGGTTCTCTGAAGCGATTGATAATCCTGAGTCAAGTCTTTAATCCGAGCGCGCTCCTCCTCAAGTTGACACTCTAAATCTCGATCACTGGATAATTTCCGGTCATTAATACCAGAAATAAAATCTTTGCAAGTTATCAATTCTTTATTCAAAGAAGCGATTTCGCAGTTAAGCTTTTCCACTTGAGAACTTTTATAAAACTCCTCGTCTTCTTCTATCCGCTTTCTCGCCTCCTGAATAGCTTCGTCCCGCTCCAACTGAACTTCCTCGAGTTTATCCTGCAGCTCAATTAAACTAAAAAGTAAAACTCAACTTTATCTCTGAATAAATTTATAAATAATATAATATAATATTATTTTTAAAACCTACCTGGCCTCCAATTCGCTCCGCTGATTCTCTAAATTTTCAATTGTTTCCTCGGCGTTTTTCAAACTATTATTCAAATCCCGAGTTCTGTTCTCAAAAATTTTATCATTCTGATGCAGCTCACTCTTTAGACTCTTAACATACTCCTGGGATTTGATTATATTTATTTCGTCACTCTGTATACGAGCCTCGAGCTCTTGAACAACAGCCTTTGTCTTGCGCAAGTCATTATCTGTGACATCCTTTGTCTCCTTAAGCTGATTAAATTTTTCAGCTTCCGCCTCGATTTTTTTTCTTAATTTATCAACAACCTCATTGCTCATTGTCTCAAGTTCGCGTATTTTGAACCTCGAGCAATCTATTTCTTCCCACATAGCCTTCACTTTATTAGTCATCTCACTTTTGGATTCTTCGATTGATTTTTTCGTCATTTCAAGTCTTACTTTAAAACTCTCAGTTTCAGTCTTCCAATCATCAAGTTGTTTTAAAAAAAATTCCCCGAGCTTATCTTCATTATGGTTCAATTTTAAATTATCAATCGATTTAATCAACTCGGAATGCTTATTAATAGCATCCTCGCAGAGAGTCAAGCACCCTTTCGGATAATCTTCCAATTCATTTAGTAAAGTAGACGCAAATTCTTTATTAATTGATGAATTTATCGTAGCGCTTCCCCGATTATTATTATTATTATTATTATTATCATTGTTGTTGTAATTCTCATTAATTTTTACCGAAAAGTCACCGGATATAGACTTTATAGACTCTATTTTACCTGGATCTTTACCACCAACAGCCATTATTTTTTCTCTCAACTGAGAGACTTCTTCGTATATATTTAATGCACTCAACTGTAATTATTTTAAAATCCATTAAGGTTACAGTGCTTAATAACTAAAATTTAATCACTAATAATTTATTCGCTCTAATGCAGCAATAAAATATTTTTTTCTTCTTTTATATTCTGCTTATCCTTCCATAAAAATAATGATGTAGAAATTATTAAAGACTTTAAAGAATCTCGGTAACAATTCACAAATTTAAGGTTTAAATTTCTGAACTTTTAATAATGAAATTAATTAAGAAGAAAAAAATGTTATTTTAATGAAAAATAATTACTTGTTTTTCTTGAATTTCATTCCTGATTGACATGTAACGATTTTGTTTATTTTTATACTGTCTCTCCAGAATCCTCTGATTTGCGGCACTGAAACTGGAAGCCCGAGTTTTTGACGGAGATGAGTTGAAACTACGTGAAGTCATACGACTGCGATTTCCCCAGACCGAAGGCGGAGATGTCATCTCTTTTGCTGGTGACATTTGAGATGTGTCGGCCTTGGAAAAGCAAATTACATTTATAAATTGTATCTCCAAACCGCACCCTACAATTTTGTAATATTTAATTAAACTCACCGCGGTATTCTGGGTGACTATCATAGGAATTTTGCTTCTCGCTCGCGTCCCAGAGGTATTTCTTCCGTGATTACTTACCGATCTGGAAGCTTTCGGAAGGTATAATATTTTATCATCGGCTTTGTCTGAAATAAAAATTTAAAAAAATATTAATTTAAAAAAATAATTTATAGTTTTAATTATTACTGACCTATCGGTTCGGTTAAATTGAGCCTCGACATTATTGCGCTTAATACATTTGCATAATTTAGAGGTCAGATAAATGTTTAATTTTTTAATTTCAGAGAAAGATAATTAACGTGAAATGACAAATATATAATATGGCTGAATATTTTTTATCGGATAAAACAGTTGAAATCTGACAGCGATATTATTATTATTATTATTATTATTATTATTATTATTATTATATTTAATGTACTAATAAATAAAATTTAAATTTAATTAAAATTTTAATTAAATATTCCGTACAATGTTTGACGTACGAGCATTAAAAATAAAACTATTAAATAATAAACTTTTTTAAACTCCAGTTAACATGATACAAGTTCATGTGTAAATAGCTTAATTGTTGCGGTCTACACAATTACATTAATATAATAATTATGTATGATGATGATACATTTGGAGAAATGCGCAACCCAAGTGACGCAAGTAGTGACGGCCGCCTCGTGTCAGACAATCGCTCGCGGAAAGCTGCCCAAAGCTCGGTGCTTTCAGTTTAACTAAAACTCCCGGCTGCACTAGACGTACTCCTTTACTTAAACTGTGAAAGTTACATGTGCTTGTGATAAATATTTATTATTTTTGTTTATTTGCGCTAAAACACGACAATGTAAGTAAATAAATAAAATAAAATAAATTTTTTTAAACTTACAATTAATCAAAAATAAATAAAAAATTCATGTACAAGTTCACGGTCGCTTCTTAATTAAATTCAAAGGTTCCTTCCTAATAGGATTCCAAGTCTCTCTCCATTGTAGACTTTAATTTCATTGTGAATAAAACTCACTACTATAATTGCGTTCATTTTATCAGCAAAACAAACTAACAAATTTAATTAAAACTTTATTAACAATTACCGTAAAAGTTTATGCCCTCATTAATCTGTGATCTTGACTGATTTATCTTTTAACTTTTAACTATCCTACTCGTCTAAAACTTTCAATTTCTTCAAAAATTCCTTATTTAACATATTATACTGAAGTTAGCAGAAGTCTAAAAATTTTTGATTTTTTTTTATTAATTAAATTACAACTAAAAAGATATTTCTAAAAAAATGCACTTATTTTTTCAATAAAAAATTTCGAAATGTCGGCTAACTTCATTTTCATATTTAACATTCCTAAAAAAAGAAGAAATAAATTTAACAAAATATATATCTCAGCTCGGCTTACCTCTCGGATTTAAAACCCACATAATCTGGTAGCAATCACCCGAGAGGACGAGAGGATGATCGTCCACGTGCGAATCTTGCCCAAGGATTTATTTCCAAATGTATACATATAGTTATAGATCCTCGAAAGTAATACTAGCTCTTACCTCGGATTTCAAAGCTTACTGGTGAATAGGATGCAAGCTATCACGTCAATGACACTAATATATACATCAGCTCTTTATCTTGGCATAATCTCCCGCTATTGCATTTTTATCCGTATAAGCCCCCGAAAATACAAAATTTAATTAAAAAAAAACCGAGATACTGATGGCTTATAGATAGATCTATAGATCGACAAGTATAAACACGCTATAAAGTTACTTTGATAGGATTTAATATATTAATTCAGGTATATATGTAGATATGTAATAAATCCCAAAGCTCAGTACATGCATATATAAATCTAAAGTTTTAGTGAAAACACATTGTTTTATTATATACTCTGAGAACGTCAAGAAGTTGATGGTGGATCTAGTGGCAGCTTGCCAAAGACCAAAGAGCTAGTGTAAAGTCAAATGTCACGTCTTATGTACTAACATTCTCACTCAATATATATTTAGGTTCACTTATTCAAACACAACACAGGATATTGGCCTTTACTCTCTGTTCCAAGCTCCGAGCACCATATCCACTTTCATTCCAATACATATTAGATATTAGACACCAGATAGAGTTTAGCCGTCCATCAATTACGGGCTTGCTCATTAAATACCTTTTAACCCGCTGATCATAATCACTGTAATAGCAAACACCGCAAATAATTGGCTGCTACTTCCTGAACCTTAAACGTGAATATTAAATTGAAATTTAATATATTAAAGTATATAATACTAAAGTTAGCCGACGTTTATAATTTTTTATTATTTTCTTCATTTATTAAATTATAATTACAAAATATTTTTAAAAAATTGCACGTGTAGTTTTTTAAATTTTTTACAAATGAATTTTTTTAAAAATATTTTTGTAATAATTTTTTCAATAAAAAAAAAATTCTAGAAATTTTTAATTGTCGGCTAACTTAATTTTCATTATTAAAGTTAGCAGTCACTCGAGAATTTTTTCATTTTTTTATTCAACAAACAAATTTGTTCAGAAAAATTACTTTTAAAAAATTGCATTTTTTATTTTTAAAAATTTCTACATGTCAATTTTTTTTTTGCCCTAATTTATTAAAAAAAAAAATTATTAAATATCAGCTAAATTTATTTTCATAAATTTAATAGAAAAGAAGAAATAATAAATTGTTTTTTTTAGTTATAATTAATTAAATAAAAATAAAATTGTTTCAGATGATCTACGCGGCATGTTTTGTATTTTTTATTTTAACTGGAGTGAAAGAATCGCTGGCGGGGAAGTGCGACAGAAAAATAGACAGTGGGACAGCCCCCAGTGTCCATGACGGAAAATTCTTCATCACTCTCTGGACTTTTAATAAAACAGATACTGTCGATCAGTATATGCCCAACACACGATACATTGGTATGTTTTTAATGTCTTTTAAATGTAAATTTTTTTAAAAAATATGTATATGTGAAATAAATGGGAACCAGATTCCCCGGAATGTCAAGTAAAGTAGAATAGATAATCTATAAGCAATTTAAATGAAGGCAAACTCGGCAGCTATTCAAATTGAAGTTTACTCGATAAGAAATTACCATGCGTGTATCCTCAGGACTTGATGAGAAAGCTTTCATTGTTGGTTGATGCAAATTAAGGGTAAACATCCTCGAGGCTGTAGTTTGTGATAGACATGAATAGTCCAATAAAACTTTTTTTATGTTAAAAAAAATTTTTAGGAATTTAATTAACTTACTGGATTCCTAAAGCTGATTAATCAGTGCGTCAATCTGTGTTTATTGCTTACTCAAAAGTTTTTTCTCAGGATCTGTAAAAACAGTTGTGTTTACTCCACTCGGTTGGGATGAGGGAGTACAAATCCGGATATTGCGACACTCTAGGTGGTCTTTTCTTCGGAAGAAAAATAAGAATAACAAACCTGGATGTTGAAGAATAATAAAAAAAAAGACAATTAAACAAGCTCTGGAGTGTTTTTTCTTTTAAATGTTTTCATTTATTTTGTCGACGGTATGGATGGAATTTAATACGTATTACGAAGGCTATTTGTTTAAATGTAATCTATTTTCATGACTAATCCATTTAATTCAGGGTTATGAGAACTGACGCGCAGCTTCTCGCGGGGTTTCGCTTATAAGTACCAAATGTGTCTGTTACATACCGTTCATTTAGCACATTTTTGCGGTATTTATATATGTACTCTGCTTGGTTATCGATTAAACTTAAGCTCAACTAATTAAACATGATTGACATTTTGCTAATTTTATTCTGAGAGGAATTAAACGAGTTAGATTAAATAATTACTGTAATTTCTCTACATAAAAATTAATTATATTAAATTTGTAAATTAATTATTTATTAAAAACAAATAAAACATATTGTAGCTTCAATTAAATTTATATTTTACATGCTTGATTATATTAAATTTATTCACATTAAAAAATGACATTAAAGTTAGCAGTCACTTGACAATTTTTCAATTTTATTTATCAAAAAAATTTATTCCAAAAAATTATTTTTAAAAAATTGCATTTTTCTAAATGTCAATTTTTTTTTTCTAATTTCTTTTTGCCATAAATTATTTGCTATAAAATTTTTATAATTATTAAATATCTGCTAAATTAATTTTCATACATTAAAAAAGAATCCAATCGACTAAATTTAAGGGCTTTAATTTTTAATACATTAATTATCCTTCAAATTATATTTTTTTATGAAGCTTAATGTTCCATCCGCATGTCAATTAATTATTTAATGAATATTAAACATAACATTAAAGTTAGCTAGAGAATTTTTTAATTTTTTTTTAACAAAAAAATTTGTTCTAAAAAATTATTTAAAAAAAATTGTATTTTTAATTTTTTAAAATTTCTACATGTCAATTTTTTTTTGCCATAATTTATTTGTTAAAAATAATTCTAAAAATTATTAAATATCTGCTAAATTTATTATCATATATTCAACCCAGTTGTTATCCAAAAAGTATTATGATTATGATAATTAATTTTTATGATTAAAAATTAAAATTTCCATTATTTTATCACCTTTTTGCGTCTGGAAAATTAAAAGGGCGCTCTTATTTTTAGTAATTTTGTAATTAATAGCCGATGGTGGTAAGAAGATATGTAACTGAGCCCAAAAATAGTGTATAAACATAACAGCCTCTCTTATTCCTTCATCACATTAACAGGCTTGATTGCCTGGGAACGTCGGCGTCCACGCAAAAAAAGAAAACGTCATCACTGTCAAGGGGGAAGCTAAGCAAGAATATTTTAAAAATAATAAAAGAAATATCATGAGTAGTAAAACTCGACATTGAAGACCTCCAACACACACCGGAAGCCATAGAGACGAATACACACACTCACACAGTCTTTCTTTCTCTTTATGTCGAGTTTTGAAGCTGTGTTGATGCTTCTGGGTTCGTATGCGGGAGAATATCGCTTATCACGAAAAAGGTAAACATTAGTTGGTAGTTGTACTCCACCCAAGTAAAATAAAACTGCTAACGGGTGGTACTTGTACCTTTGATAGCCAAAAGCGTATCAGGAAAACACACAACAGCTTCATCAGGGATTGATTCGCCGGATGTGTATCTGATAAAGTGAATTCTAAAGTAAAATAATAAAAGAAAAGGGCTTTCAAATTATCAAAGTTGTCTGAGCTTGTTAGCCGGCTTTTTTTTTTTTCTTTTTTTCAGAAGAAAACTCTATACGGGATAAAATAAAAAAACGGCAAGTTAACAAAAAAATTTAAAGAGTAAACGAACTTTTTACTTAATATATAAGTAATTATAATGAATTATTTTTTATATTTTCGCGGACATCAAGGAACATTAAGACTTTTATTTTAAATATTTAAATATTTAAAAAGAGATTTAAATTTAAAAAATACTTGCCGTAAAATCGATCGGCAGGTAGTTTGTAGATTAAATTAAATTATCTGACAATCTCGGTCTATGGAGAAAGACCGAAAGAGGAAAAGAAGATAAAATTAGGATGGAAAAGCAGCCAATTTATCTGGCACTTCTCTTTAACTAATTTAATTTCTCTGGTTAAATTTTTTTAAATGACAACCATAAAAATTCCAACCCCTCCAATTACTATTGCAATAAATTAAAAGTAAAATTTAATATTGTCAGGATTTATTTCCATTAAAAGCTATTGTGCAATGACCTACTTTATTAATCTTAATAAATTTTTATTAATTTTTCAAGGTCGGAAAAAAATTTATTAAATGTTTCAGTGACCCTTGAGGGAACCAAATTGCAGCACACAGTATCACAAGATTCCGCAGGTTACAGAGAAAAGTTCACAAGATTTATATTGACAGCCGATAACAAAAATGACTCCTCGACAGTCGAGGGAACCTTTGATCTCGTCGACGAGATGTTGACCCAGTTTTCCGACAAGTGTCCCAACAGCGTTTCCGAGACCAGCAATATCCCGAAGGAGGAGATCGCGGTGGCTTGGACGAGCCCTCCCGAGGGAAGCGGCTGCATTCTCATTAGGTTACTCTTTTTTTTTTTTTTTTTTTTTTTTTTTTCTATATAATTGTAATTGTAATTACAATCAGCCACGGGTCAATCAATTTCAGTAATAAAATGTTTCTAAAACAGAGCGACGGTGATGGAAACTCCCGACACGTGGTACATGGACGATGGAGGAGTCGCAAGAACAATTTGTCCGGATCCAAAAGCTATTGAAGATGATCCTGGGCCTATCTTGCCGACGTGTTGCGCTTGCGACGAGGCCAAGTACGAGGTCACCTTTGAGGGTCTTTGGTCAAGAAACACTCATCCAAAAGTTTGTTATTATTTTTAACTTACAATAAAGATAAGGATTGTTTTTATTTATCTAAAACAAATTTATATTTCAGGACTTTCCGAGCAAGGGCTGGATGATAAGATTCTCTGACGTGATCGGGGCTTCGCATACCGTCGACTACAGATTTTGGAGGTACGATGAAACCGCCAGCGAGGGTCTTCAGCAAGTTGCCGAGATAGGATCCACTAGAAAACTCGAGTCTGAACTAAAAGAACAAGTAAGTTTAAAAAGAAAAATTGAATAACTTTTAATTATTTCAGTAATAATTACTACATAGCAACCTTGTAGTCACTATGTGACTTGTGAACTATAAATAATCAAAAATTTTGCTTTATTAAATAATGACTTTTGTTAAATTGGACTGTACTTTCTTAAATATTAACGTTTTTAAAGATATAAGCTCATTCCGATGTTACACTCATCAAAAGCTTTCATTTGAGTACCCACATGCATTTTTGGTATATTTTTCATATATACATATATATATATAAATATATTAAAAATTGATGTGGGTACTCAAATGAAAGGTCTCGATGAGTGTAACATAAGGATGAGCTTATGTTATATCTTTGAAAATGTCAATAATTCACAAGATACAAGATTATTTCTTAATTATTGACATTTATAAAGATATAAGCTTATCCTGATGTTACACTCATCGAGACCTTTCATTTGAGTACCCACATGACAATTTTTATATATTTTATATATATGATATTTCTGATATATATATATAAATATGTAAAATATATGAAAAATTGCTGTGGGTACTCAAATGAAAGGTCTCGATGAGTGTAACATCAGGATGAGCTTATATCTTTAAAAATGTCATTAGTTCACAAGATACAAGGTCATTTCTTAATTATATATCTAGAGATAATAGAGCATTTTCGAATGCAGCTTAAATACTTATCATTTATCATCATAAATCGATTATTCTCTTAATAATAATAATAATTATTATTATTATTTTAAATCCAGAGCGATCATATAAGGACAATAATAAAAGCTCGAGGTATAACCCATCCAAATGTCACCGGCAAAACGTTCGCAGTGTTCAGAGTAGACCGGAAGCATCATCTTATGTCGCTGGTTTCCATGATTGGTAATAAAATAAAAAAATCAATTTTTTTTTCTTCAGTTAGCAAGAGAGTTTTTAAATTGAATGGATTTTCTAGTCCCGTCACCTGATTGGATTGTCGGTGTTTCTGGGCTGGAGCTCTGCTTGTCAAATTGCTCGTGGATTGAACACAAGGAGCTCAATTTGTACCCAATCGATGCCGGTACTGATGACGGTATCACTTATATGGTAAATTTTATTTTTAGTTTCATTATTTTTTACGACAATGCCGATATTATTATAGAGACATTTTATTATAATGATTTAGTCACCGGATTCCCCGCTGGAGGACCCGGAGCCAATAAAGCGGATAACAACCAACTGGCCGAATGACACGAGATCTCCGTTTTATGATCCCCTTGGGCTGGACATGAAACCCATGGCGAAATTACATCTCAGCAGACAGAGACTCTATGAGAAATCTTGCAACGCATCCTTGGGTGATTCTGCCGTAGATTCAGGTGGTGATAACAATGATATTAATAATAATAATAATGAAGGTAGTGAGAATTCCACAGGTGAAGAGGGTGAAGGGGGTGGCGAGGGTAACAAAAGTAGCGAAGGTGGTAAACGCCATAAAGGAAAAAATCGTAAACACAAACATAAAAATAGCAAGTATTGTTCGATTTTTATTTTTATTTATTTCAACAACTTCCGCGGTACTAATCCATGTAATTATTAATATTAGTTCTTAAATTGTTTCTTCTTGTTTTTTTTTTTTTTCTTCTAACCATTTTTTTGTTGCTTTGTATTTAGAACCGTGCAGAACAACGCAGTGGAGCGCGTGGGGAAAATGTTCGGAGCCTTGCGGCGAGGGGAAAAGATTGAGGCAAAGAAAATACGAAGATCCGGTAGCTGCTGCCGCTCATAATTGCAATAAATCGTTAAGTAGTCGAGGAACTTGCTTCGGAAACAGTCCTGAATGGTAATTCTCTTTTTTATTTCAACAATAAGGGTAATAATGGATAGTAGATTGTAATAAAAAATAATAATAATAATTTTAGCGACGGACAGGAGAGAGAAAAAACAATTTTAGACACACCGGATTGTAAATTAAGCGAATGGGGAGAGTGGAGCTCTTGTACAACGAGCTGTGGAGAGGGTGAGATCACGCGGTCGCGTATTTTTGTCCACAAAAAACACCGCAAGCGATGCAAGCTCGTGTCAAACGGTCCAGAGCTCCAACAAACAGTTCCTTGTGAAAATGAGCCCTGCGAAAACACGAAAACTGAAGAGGTAAGCAAAAAAGAGGATCTAGATGATGACGTTGTTGTTGATGATGATGAGGTCGAGGAGCCCACCGAGGCTGAGGAGGGAGAGACTCACCCAGATGAGGAGAATGAGGAGGAGGAAAATGACGCTGAGGGGGAGGAGGGAGCCGAGGGAGATGAGTCTGAGGAGTTAGATTCTGAGAAGGAGGAGGAAATGAATTATCAAGAAGATGATGAAAATAATCCGGTGGAGGTAACCGAGGAATGGTTGCAGGTGAGAATAAATGATACTTAAAGCGACAATCATGATCATTCATGGTATCATGACTAATAATTGATACATTTACATAATCGATATTAATTACCTGTACCATAAGAGTCTTTCCTGCACACCATTTCTCGTTGCTGGCAATTTTACTGCTTACCATCATGGGGCTGCAAGACATAGGTCATAGTGTCGGCTAATATAAATTATTAATTACTAATTACTTTTTTTTATAATTAATTAAAAGAATTTTAATGTTAATTCTTAATAAGAGTTTTCAATCTGTAGAAATGTCCTGATGATGTTTACGGACCGTGGGGCACTTGGTCGCCCTGCACTTCATCATGTGTGTATACGTTTAAAGTTTTTCCATAATGTTCTTAAGAGCATGGCATATCATCAGAGTAGCTGAGTCTTGACATAACACAGGCCCTGATGTCTCCGTAATTGTACTCCAACTCCCAGGTGGTCGTCTCGTCTGGAAATATGTTTGTATTTTATCCTTCTTGCTATTAAAAATCTATAAAATAATAACTACATTTTATTAATTTGTAGAGTTAACATTTTTAAAAAAACTTGAGTAAATTTACTCGCATATTTATAATCATCCAAATTATGTACAAAGGTGCGAAAGTGCTGGAACATAAAAAAAAAAATTAAAAGCAATTCAGGTCAGCAATAATCGATTATTGCAAACTATATGGAAGAATTTTGTTGGGTAAAATTTGAGCACCAACTGCGAGTACATATAAAATAATGGTAAATAATAAAATAAACAATGTATTAAATTGCTAACAGTCTTTTCACTTAGCTTATATATGCTGTGGCCTAAATTTTAACAAGAAAATTATTTTAACAAATTTGTATTTTGCAATTTAGGACTTTCAACACACATTTATTATCTGTAATTTTCAGTTATTTGCTTTATTGAACCGTGGCTAATTTTAAAATCAAATATTATTACCTTTTTTAATTTAATAATTATAGATTATTGCCAATAAAAAAGTCTTTGATACAAATTCAAAATATTTAGAGAGTAGTCTGGGTGGATTTTAATCCAAAAAATTAAATATGGGGGCGTTGATTAATGTAATAATACATAGTAAATTTTGCATCACGGGTGTCGTGAACCCGAGCGATTATGGTGACTATAACGTGGAAGTGGAAGTAGAAGCGGAATATATTATTAAATTGCATCGTCTGGACTCTTAAAAACTAAACGGAAACGAGTGTGGGAGGTCAAAGGCTACGAACTGATAATGACGTCATTGAGTTTAAGTGCCTGGCTTTTTTTCATTTATCGTACAATTATTATCAGGTCCAATAGGCGCGCTACTCGAGATACTACTTAATGCAATAATTGTACATACCAGAATGCTATAGGTATGTGCGATTACATACAAATTTGATTTGATAATGAAAATGTTTAGCACGACTCATAATGCGAAGCATCAGAGAGTGCTTTACGATCGAAAAATTTGTTTTTCCTCGATTTCCCAACTATTTAATTAATTACACGATTGATAATCTAAGCAGTCTGATTAATTTGCACACCATTTGATGGATAATTTAATGGAGATTAATTCTGTTATTGGTTAAAATCAATTTAAAATAATAGAACCCAGAAAAAAATATCAAAATTGTTAAAAGAAAATTTAATAGTTTGGCATTCACTTTGTGGAGATCTCTATTGGAGATGGTAATCTTATTTAATGTTGTTTATTTGTTATTAACGAAAAACTGAAATTAATTTAAAAAATCTACACTCAGTGCGCATGATCAGTTTATAACACCGCGCGAAATTTGAAATGAAAAAATAAATAAAAGAAGAAATTGTATTTAAAAGTATTTAAAAAAAAAATATAGTAAATTGCAAAAGTAATATTTAAATAATACAATAACATTTAAAATAAAGATTAATTATTTTTTTTTTTTTATTTGTCGAACTAATGAGCATTATGAATCGTGGACTTTTGGATTTGTCAAACTTTTTTTATTAATATTAACAACAGTTGTACTACTGAAACAATAATTAGAGTTTTTATTAAAGATAGCTAGGGTAGGTACAAGGTACAAGGTACCTCTATCTATAAAAGGAAAAAAGTAAGCATATCCGAGTAGCATAACGAAAGTGACTTCCTTGAACGGAGAAAATCTACGGAGCGTATCAACGTAGTGAGCACCATCCAGAACATTCACGGTCTAGTGGAATTAAATACGAGAACGTAAATTTGCTCCAGTTGTTCGGTATTTAAATACCCTCGGTTTAATATCTAATATTGACCTTGGTTATTTTTGACGTGAATAATGATAATATAGTAGGTCCCATCGATCTACAAATGACATCACGGCTTAGCTGTCGATAATATATACCCATACACATGTGTGTGTTTTTATAGATCGCTAGACCTGATAATAACTGTAAGTGTGTTATACTTTTTTCTTTTTATAAAAATACAATAATATAATATGATGTTAAAGATATATCCGAAATCGGGACACGGATCGCACGCGACGTTCAAGGAGCATAATAACTTGGGCTGCCCTTACATCCGGCGAAGGGTCTAACCAACCCAAATATAAAGGAATTGCGTGTACTATAAATGTAGTCCAGAGAAACTTGTCCTACGTATAGTAAAATCATAAAACGCAAACGACGCGTGAGTTTTTGCCACGCATATAGACCATTTTCTCACTATATCTGATGCCATAAATCTTCCTAGATAGCAAAAGGGCTGATAGACCATGATACTATTGTATAAATGAGGGTATAATAATTTAAATATCTGTACTTATTCTTTCTATTCTCATTATTATCCTCAGGTAGCTTCATCCATTCTGTACTCTAAACTTTTATATTTTTGTAGAAAAGAAAATAAAGGAAAGTATTGTGTTTGAAGGAAGAAAACACTGTGAATAAAGGCAGTCTTTGTGGTGATGTTAAAGAGAAACCCAACGGAATTTTCCCGGACTTTGAGAAAGGTCTATAGGATATATACTGCCCATCAGGCAGTTCAAGTGATTCCTTGGAAAAGCCGTCAAAGTGCCGGTCTATTCTCAGCAAAACTCTGAAAATATATATTATTATTATTTTGAAATTTTAGTTTTTAATTAAAATTTAAAGAGATTTCTTTTTTTAAATGTAAAATACAATTTAAAATTACCTACATTTATTATGAAAATTAAATTAGCTGACATTTAAAAATTTTAATAATTTATTTTATTGAAAAATAATTTTTATAAAATTATAACAAAAAATTTTTACATGTAGAAAATTTTAAAAATTATCCGTAGAATTTTTTTTAAATAGTTTTTTAGTTTTAATTTTTAATTTAAAAAAAAAAATCAAAAATTTTTAAGTGTCGGCTAATTTAATTTTCAAAATTTATTTATGTATATAATTAACAAATAATTTTACAATAAGTTGTTGATAAATTTAAACTCATAAGATAATTTAAAGTCTAGTTCTTTCAGTAAAAGAATGACATTTTACATTTTGGGTTTTTTTTGTCACCTTTTCAGGTATATAGCCGAAGATAATTAAAACTTTAAAAGCAGCTTATATATTATTATTTTTATTTACGACTGCATTTATTTTAAAATTCTTATCTGCTGTATAAATGACATCTAGTAATTTTTGAGTGACAATGCGTAAAAATTAAAAATAAATCTAACCTCAAAAAAGTAAGAATTGAAAAATATTGAGAAAAAAAAAAAAAAAAAAAAAAAAATAACATAAAGTTAGCCAAGATATTTAAGTTAGCCGACATTAAACAATTTTTGATTTTTTTTATTAATTAAATAAAGACTAAAATAATATTTTTAAAAAATTGCACTTTTAATTTTTCAAGTTTTTTACAAATGAAAATTTTTTTTTAATTATTTTAATAAAAAAAAATTTTTTTAATTTTTAAATGTCGGCTAACTTAATTTTGATAAAAAAAATATGTTAAACTTCAAAATACATATTTAGAGTAAAACATGTGTGGTAATAGAAGTGTAGTGGTAGTGGGTGTCCCCTTAAAATGTACATCCTTGTCAGATTGGTGAAACAATCCTTGTTTGTCTCTGTCACATGCTCGTCTCTGGTAGTCTGGTGTAGAACGGTGCAAACTCAAAGTAAAGGTCTGGAAGAGTCGAAGGAGGGATGAAGCCGGCTGGTCGGTATTAAACACATCACGTGGCACTGGGCTGGCTGGCGCCGAAGTGGTGGGGGAGATTTCCCAAATGAATGTGAGCTAGCAATCGTCTGGACGTAGACAGCAGAGCAGAGAATGATCAGAAACGCACCGACTTACGGCATTCTGACCTGGTAAGCCGCCAGGGTCTGATCGTTGCTAATAATTACAGAGCGAGCCGGAGCTTCTGTCGCGAGTTCTCTCACACAAACACTGTTGTTAATTTAATTGTTTATCTGACAATAATATAAACAATTTTACACCAACAATAAGTAAAAGACTATCACCAATTACCTCCCAAAGGATTTTTATTACGCTTATTTATTATTCCGTCTAGTGATTTTTTTATTTTATTTTATTTTATTTTTTTTTTTTTTTTCATTACTATTTAAATAATTAATGAGACACTAAAGTCCAAAAAGTATAAATATAAATAAATGTGCACGTGAATCTCATTAAATATTACAGCTTTATTATGTTTATATTATAATAATAATTAATGATTAATGATTGATTAAAAAAAGTCTGGAGGTGCAGGTGTAAATTGTCAAAAGTATAAATTAATAATATTTAGTTTGTGAATAAAAAGTGTGTGTTGTGTGTGCATGTGTACTCGTAAGATTGTAGTAATCTCGAGTAGCTGAGCTGAAAAAGTTTAATCATCAACAAAACTCACATTATATTATATATCTAATAAATACATATATAGTATAGTGTTGTTAAAATATAACAAGTTGATCTACTATACATTCACATGTATAATATCATAACAACTGATACATAAAAGCAGTAAAGTTGTGTAGAAACAGTGTAATTTTATTCCAAGAATTAAACTGACGACTTGCTCGACTTTTACTACAACGACACTGAATATAATACCAGTGAATTTGGACTAGCATACATTTAATATTGATAATAATAATAATAATACCAGGAAAGGAATATCAGTTTAAATTAAAAAGCCGGCTGGTAATTATAGAGATTCCTGATTTGGATATTAAAATGGATCTGCTGTGCTGCGAGATAACTGAAGAAACAGAATGTCATGCTTATCCGGATCCAGCTTTACTTGGAGATGATAGAGTTCTGCAGAATTTGCTGAAAACTGAAGAACGTTACGCACCAAGCAGCTCTTACTTTGAATGCGTACAGAAAGATATCACGCCGCTCATGCGCAAGATTGTCGCCGAGTGGATGTTGGAGGTGAGTCTCTTTCATTTCCGGTACACGTGTCGATTAACTACAAATAAAATCATGTACTGTACCAACTACTACTCTATTTAATTATTGTTGTTGTTTAATTGTTTTTTTTTATTTATTTTTTTTCAGGTTAATTAACTTAATTTAAGCACGTGCATAAAATGTCGCCATTTTATTTCTTTTCATTAAAATTAGCAGTTACTAGAGAATTTAAAAATTTTTTTTAATAAAAAAATTTGTTCCGAAAAATTATTTTTAAAAAATTGCATTTTTAATTTTTTAAAATTTCTACATGTCAATATTTAAAAAATTTTTTTTTACCATAATTTATTTGTTAAAAAAAATTCTAAAAACTCTTAAATATCTGGTTAAATTTTAGACTTTGATTATTATTTTAAATAAAATTAATTTAATAGATATTTATTTATTTATTCAAGATCAAAGATTTTTCAGTCGGTACAAAAAGAGTCTAAAGTTTTAACTGACCTTGGGCGGATCTTATTTTTTGGCCTTTAAACATTCCAAGCCAGGTATCAAAACTAAGCTACCAAAGTTAAAATTCCATTCTCAGGCGAGTGGAAAAAAAAAAAAAAAAAAAAAAAAAAAAATAAGTAAAGAGTACCACTGGTGTAGAGCATGGGTTGTCATTTTTTTTTTTTTTTCTTCAAGTTAATTTATTTATTTAAAAGGATTGGTCGTTAAATAAATAATACTATTTCTAGTTCTAACATTACAATCAACTACAGCAGACTTCCTTTTCGTTTGCTGGCTGTATGGTAATGAGTTGTCGTTTCCGGACAACGAACGGATAGAATGATCAGCGAAGAAATTTAAAAATTTATTAATGTCTTGGAAAATTTGACCGGTTAAATTATATTTTGTTATTTGCCATTTGATTAATTGATTTTTAGTAAAAGGAAGACGGGACGACATAAAAGGTACAATTGAATGAAAAATGAAATTGTGAATTAACTTGCCAAACGAGTATTTAACTTGCGTACTATACAAAAAGGAAGAAGAAGAAGAAGAAGAAGAAGAAGAAGAAGAGGAGAAGTAAAAAAAAAAAAATGATAAATAATAGTCGGTACTGGTCTTTTGTGAAAGTCGCCGTCTTTGGAATAGAACAACTTGTTTTTGGCCCTGGCTTGGTTCTTTAATCGACAAATTATTTTATCTAGACGTATATATGTATACGTATATGTGTAAGCTTAAATAGTAATGTGGCGTAATTGTATGACTCTTTTCGGTTAGGAGCGATTGTAAAAATGACCTTGAATGCCTGTTATATATAATGTAGTAAAAGATGAGAGTTTAAAGTTACACCTAGTGATTGCGAAAGAAAAAGAGTGAGAAAACGTAATCATCAACAGGTTTATTGCCACCAATTCTTTACGTATAGTAATAGTAGTAATATATATAAGCTTTGTTCTTACAATAAATATATTAAAATATTATCTGTAAATTAAAAAGTAAAACTTTGATAATTATAAACTTGTTCAGAAGAAGAAATAAAGGCGATATAAATCGAAACTAAAAATAGTTCTCCCTATCCCGGTGCTCGAGCTAATTGCCGAGGTATTTTTGTCTTGTAATTACTGATGGATAATGCAAGAAAGGGCGCGAGCTGACTGGTCACGGTCATTACCCACCCTTGTATTATATTAATTTATACATCCTCGAGAATTTCACCCTTTTAATTGTGCTACCATTTACGGTATCAAAAGCTCTAGCTCTGTTTCGAAATTTAATAAAAATCCAATTATCATCATCATCATCAGTATAAAAATGGTTAATTTCATTTATCTTACGGACAAAATAAATATCATTTGAATCAATAGCGCCACCGAGACTCGAGATTTAGTGATAAAGATAACATACATCATTCGTTGTTACATTCCATCACCGGTTAAGTAGTTTAATTTATAAGAAGAATATGAATCGTTAATATAATTCAATGGTGTTCACAATGTGTGAAGTTAATAAGGGATCTTTGTTTAATTATACACGAGTATATATGAATATTTCTATTTTACTCGTAAATTTATCAAAGTTGGTTAACCCAACTAAAGATTTATTGCTTCTTTAACTTCCTTTCTACATTTATGTATATATACATATATTTAAAAATAAAATAATTGTGTTGCAGGTTTGTGAAGAAAGAAAGTGCCAAGAAGAAGTATTTCCACTGTCGATGAATTATCTCGACAGATTTTTGTCCATCTGTCCAATAAGAAAAACTCAACTGCAATTGCTTGGAACGGCGTGTCTTTTATTGGCGTCAAAACTTCGGGAGACTAAGCCACTGACTGCTGAGCTCCTTGTTTATTACACCGACAACTCAATCACACTCGATGACCTCTGGGTATGTTAAAAGCTGATGTACAGCAAAAAATCAAAACCGATTATACGAATTCATTCAAGCATGAGTTGTGAATTTATATTACACTTTGTACGTTTTATATTTCGCAATTGTTTTTGTAGTTATAGTACTACGTTCCCAGAATCAACGTGACTTTTATTATTTAGGATACAACAATATACAACATACACATTAATACGTTATGGAGAACGTGCTGAATAATATTCGTTTGGGTACCGCTAGTTTTGTAATACATATTACCAAGGTTAAAGAGAGAGGAAACTCAATTTGCACGTGTATGATGATACTATCTAGTAGTAAAAGAGTTTATAAGACGGACTCACATCCCACCAGTTAACTCTCTGACACAGATTACATATACATACAAACTTACTCACTCACTTACTTACATGTGTCTTTAACCAGCTTCTAGTGATTATCTTTCTTACCGACTACATATATTTCAATTGCTGGCTCCGCATATTTAAACTATTAAACTTTCATGGGAGAAATTCCATCGCTATTTTGAATTATGTTAATACATTTATATTTTTTTTTTTTTTTAAACATCTAACTAAAACTTCCCTTTTATTTTAAGCAGCTCCAATAGTTTATTCTGAACTTGACCTAACAGATTTTTTATTGATAAAACGTTCTATCAATTGATAATATATTTCTTGACAAATATTTAACTCTAGTATTTAATTAAAAAAAAAAAAAAAATTCTTTGTTCTGTTGATTAAGATCTTTGAAGAAAGTTTATTATCATGCGATAAAAATATTTTTTAAAAATAATCAATAGAGTAATAATAAATAAAATCAGTAATAGCTGCGTAGTTTAATCACTAGATTTATTGTTTTGTAATCAGAATCGAGCTGCTAGCCGCCCCTTGGTATGACCTCGTCTATCGTTTTAGTGCGTGTGAACTCGAGTTCTATTCATTTAAAAATCTTTATCAACTCTAAATTTCATTGACAACTTTAAATTATTTTTATTTTGCCAAAAAATAAAATACAATTATTGTTACGTAAGATCAAGTCAATTGAAGCAATTATTATTTCTAAGAACTTTTAAGTATACTAACTGGAAGTTGGGTAAACAGTTGATAGCCCGAGCCTCAATCGATAACAGTGGTATCAACTACGAAGAGATCCTCAAGGTTTACTCGTTAGTTAATTGAACAATCCATTAAATACTGCCGATAAAATCAATAATTGTAAAATTTTAATGGAGCTGATAATTAAATGCGTTTAATATTAGAGAAGAAATAACTTGACAATTAATGAAATTTTACCATATAGGCAGTGTAATAAAAAGGAATATTATAATAACAACAAAACTGATGAAATTCCGGCCGGGTGGGTCTCTAGTGAAACTACTGCTCCCTGCAGGAGCTACAAAAGAAACAGAAGAGCAGGTGAGAGCCAGGTGGTGTCTTCAGAAGGGTACACCGGGCCCGTGCTCAGCTAGCAGCTGCTCCTGCTGCTACTCAGATGGATGCATCAAATGCATATGTACCCCTTCTCACTGGGACTTACTTTTAAACTTTATGTGTATAATACTACGACTTATTATATTATAGAAGACGAAGAAGAAGGAGAAGAGGAACAGATGAATGTCAATGATTCCGTTCTCATATTCTGCGACAAGTCGAAGCGTGCCCGTATTATTTTGGCAGCTGCTTCACCGATTCAAATTTCTTTGTGCTATTTATTTATTATCAATCCTGGGAGAATTATGATCCTTCTATGATCCAAAGGATCGATAATTTTATTGGAGATAATTTTGGTACACTGATAGAAAAACAATCTTGATTCAAGAAATATCTTTTCTTCAAAATTAATTTATTAATTTAATAATTATTTATTAATTTTATTATAATTGAATTAATAATATTTAATTATAATAAATTATATTTTCACAATTATGTTAAATCAAAAATCTATAAAAAAATTTTTTTATTTACTTCAACAATAACATCTTAAATGAAGAAATTATTATTTAAACCAAAAATTTCAAGTTTTTTAAACGATAATATTATATTGGTTGGAAAACTTGAATGTATCGATTGACGATAATACAGTTTTGAGTAAAGATACAATACTTATCCAACGGAGACATACATTTCTTAAACCAAGACAAGAAATTCTTGAAGCAAAATAATCATTTGTCTTCAAAAATAAATTCTTAGATCAAGAAAATATCTCTTGAGTCAACATAAATGTAGAAACTTCTGAAGGAATTTAAATTGAAAAATAAAATAAAAATTGAACCTAAAGGTGATGGTAATTATCGAGAGCACCTGCCCACGCAATTAGAGAGCACGTGACGCAGACATTTCGCTACAGAGTGTAATTTATAATAAAAAAATGTTTTTTGCACCTGCTTTTAGCTCACCCCACTCGATTTCATCAGAATTTCCCCTTTATGAAAGTAAATAGCAGCACAGTGGTGAATTTCAGGCCACATGGTTGACTTGTTGCTAATTTTTAAACGACAGTGTCTTAAATTTTTTACTACGAATAATTACTGTTGTTTTTTGGCTGGATTTTCCGGATCTGAGACATTGAGATACTGATAAAAGGAGTAAAGACAAAGTAAAGACCACCTGTCGACGTATTTATATGTGCAACAGGTGCATTCACCTTGTGGTTCGATTACTATGCTCGTAAGATTGTAACTAAGAACACATGTTGGCCGGAACTGTGGACTTTTTAAGGCTAAAAACCAGCGGAAGAGCGAAAAAACAAATTTTTCGCATGAGATATTTTAATAAAACTTTCTATAGTGTTATTTTAAGGCCGGAGTGAGATAATGCTTTTAATTATTATTCAAGAGTTTTTAAAAAGACGGTCACACACACGGATAACAACATAAATATAAATGTTTAAAGACCGCTTGCCGATGAAACTCGTCATCAATCCTCTTAGTCGTTTTCTCAGGGTCTTCATTGTGTCAGAGATTTAGACACAGGCGGACTATACCGGGATCGTAAAACCGGATGGAATTTCGCAGTTAACAAATCCCCGCGGGGCTTTCTCATACAATTTAAACTATTAGAAAAAAAATAACAGGAACAAGAATCAAAAGAATATGATGAAGAAGAAGAAGAAGAAGAAGAAGAAGAAGAAGATAGTAGATAAATATACCAACTGTAATATTTTGCAAAATATTTGTTGTGAAACAACGCTGAGAATCACATCGAATTCTTCAATAACCCGGGACTTTGAAGATAAACAAAATTAATAATGATATTCATCAATCAATTAACTTGATTATCTTCCCAGTGAAGACTATATACCATCTACGACGTACATGTGTGCTATATTACACATGAGGGGAAGAAGAATATATTCTCAGCATATTCTAAATGCTATTAGAAATACATAGCTTAGCCATGATGGCATCCTCAAAGTGGCCGTGACTATGGCCCACTGGTGGGAGTTATTGACCGGCCACGAGGCCTCAGCTTAACTTTAAAATACATATGTGTGATCTTTGGTTTAATACGCACTCTTATACACACCAACGACAAATTCAATGTGAGTTTTCTAACATTAGCTTTGCGGATGTGACGTTTAAAGAGAAACGTTTGGCCTTATACGATTCAAATAACACGTCCTAAAACTAATGGCAATCTTGTTATTATTAAAATTATTAGCGTTCTTATCCATAGTTAATAATATATTAAATTCGTTCTTATTGTCAGGATTTATTTATTTTATTTATTTAATACAGACCCAACAGCCAGGAGGAACTATAACAGGATCATTAATACATACATTTTTACATATTAACAGTAATATATTGAATATTACATAGGGTAATATCTAAGAAAAAAAATTATCATCATATGGTATTTTTTTTTCATGAAAACAATTATTTAAAATAAGTTAAAAAAATGTGAGAATTTATATGTATATAAAACTTTCTAATCTAGGCATCTTGGCTCTACCAATTAATATTTAATCAACGACTGCTGATCAAATATAGCGAGATCTTTAATAGATTTAATAATGTCGTAACTTGATATTAATCGGAAGAAAAAAATAGTTTTTCTTTGGGACTATAAGTATATAAATTATAAAAAAAAGATGCTGGCAATAAGAGCAGATGTTAAAAAGTACTTCCAGGAAGAAAGGACACTGAGAGTATTTTTTGGCCGGGAAACCCATCTGAATATTCAAGCCGGGAAGAAATAAAAGATAAAGATTTATTCGAGCAGATTATAAACGCGTATAAGCTTTGGAATTTTTTAAAAGAAAAAGCTAAAAGATATAGAATTTAATCGTTCGGGTTTGTACTTTATTTTCGGCAAAATTGTAAACACCTTTTGGGTTTGCCGTCGAATCCTTTTTTATTTAAACCCTTGTTTTTTTATTTATTCCAATACTTACAATTCTCTTTATCTTATTTCGGGACGGTATATGTATCCCAGGATCCAAATATCCTATCGATTGCTGGTTGAACCCAGATAATACGTACCTCCTTATTCTGGGAACTCGTCGGTCAGGTATATAAGCATCTCGGATTGTCTTTCTAAGAATATGTACCCAGATCTAAAAAGATTCCGTTAAGATTTATATTAGCAAGCTTTTTATCTTATTAATATTTTATTTTTTCATTTATTTATAATTATTAAATTAGTATTCTAAAAGTAGATCACCTACCCGGTGATTCACAGCTCGAGTTTATTATAATACATAAAAAAAATACATTTTGTCGCCCACGTGTCTGCTTATATTCGCTGATCTCCCGAATCTCAGCCTAAAAATTAATAAGTTACATAATAACCCAATAAATAAATCCTCTTATAATTAATTGATAGACTAAAAATACGGACAAGTCATTTGGAATTTTTTTTAAAATTTTATAACGATTGGTTTTAACGTCACTTGTTAAATTATTTTTAATCTTTTATCAAGTATAATAAAACTTTTCATTAATAGCCATTAATTTATCAATAACCTATAATTTACAATGAAATAAAAAAAAAAATTCATAGATTTGAGTTGTTAAATAAAAGTTTAAAAAATATCCGTGCGAACCGATCTACTTGCATTTTACCACGCGTGCCCTTTTACCTGGCACACTATTACAATTACAATTACAATTACAATTGTATAGTCTACCTGACTCGGTAATATTTGCTTTATCTCTCCCTTAGCCAGTACGATAGCGTACTACTATCGGATACTACAATACCGCAAGTATATAGGAATTAAATAACAAATAGTTATCAGAAAGTTAATCGTCCAATTAAAATAAATAATAAAAAAAAAAAAAAAAGCCCCTTAGTAGTGAGTACAGTAATAGTATTACATGCGTGACAATTGTTTGATTGTTTTAACCATAATTTATTTATCGGAATAGCAGGATCTCTGTAGTATAGTAGTATTACTACGTAGCGTACTACACCGAGAAAGTTGCTGGTTCTTTGTAATTTTTTTTTTTTTTTTTTTTATTTATAATTTAGCGTGTGTTCGTGTCGAGGTGAATGAAACAAAGCCATCACGAGCAATACAGACAAAGATATAGAGAGAGAAAGCTCGAGGATACGGGATCGTCACGCTCGACACAACGGTGTAGTGCTTAAGCGGTTATTTCTTATTTTTTATTCCTTCCCCCAACTTATACTTGTACTTGAACATTAATACACTTGTATTGCTTCCTTTTGACTCCTCGAGAAGTAAAGCCACGGTACGATGAGTACGCTCCTTGATCTAACGCCAATTTAATTCTTCTTTATACGAAAAAGTCGACGATCTAGCTCAAGGGCGCTATTGCGGTCTCAATAATCATATTTTTTACTCAATAAATTTAAAAAATTATATTGTATTTTGTCAACTTATGATATTTTTAAAAATGTAAGCTCATCATGATGTTACACTCATCAAGAGCTTTCATTTGAGTACCTACATGCATTTTTCATATATTTTTCATATATACATAAATATATGAAATATATATGGAAAATTGATGTGGGTACTCAAATGAAAGGTATTGATTAGTGTAACATCAGGATGAGCTTATATCTTAAAAAATGTCAATAATTAAGAAATTATATTGTATTTTGTCAAATTATGATATTTTTTAAAATATAAGCTCATCCCGATGTTACACTCATCAAGAGCTTTCATTTGAGTACCCACATGCATTTTCATATATTTTTCATATATACATATATATAATTTAATATATATAAATATATGAAAAATTGATGTGAGTACTCAAATGAAAGGTCTCGATGAGTGTAACATCATGATGAGCTTATATCTTTAAAAATCCTCAATAAACTTAAATTATTTTTACAACAATTATAATGAAACCTTTTTTTTTTTTGCTTTCAGAGGTGGGAGCAGCTGGTGGTTTCAAAGTTAAAGTGGGAATTGTCAGCAGTTACGCCCGGGGACTTTCTCCTGCACATCCTCAGCCGCTTGCCGGTGGATTCACGAGCATGGGACTTTTTGATGATAAAAAGACATGCACAGACTTTCATTGCGCTGAGCGCAAGAGGTGAGAAAATAAATTTATATGCATTGAATACAAAGTTTAAATTGTTGGAGATGGTTGATGGTTACCCTTAAAAAAGTATATTCATGCCGACCCACGTGTGAATAATAATATCCTCTTAAATTATTGAACAGAATAACCGCAGTGTAATATAATTATAGTTAACTTTTTGCAAAAGCACCCTGAGTCTTAGTCTGGGTCGTTCTGCGGTACCAGTAGCAGACACAAAAAATACAAATAACCCGTATCATTCTTTCCTGTTTTATGTCCGCTAAATTATAAAATATATTTTTCTTTCTTGTTGTTTTGTTTTTTTTTTTTTTTTTTTTTTTTTATTCTCACACATTTACAAGTTTAAATAAACTTTAGTACATTATGTAGACTAGTGTAAGTAGATAATTGCAATTTTAAACGGTCTATCGACGAGACCAAGGCCAGACTCCTCACAAATAATCCAGACTGTCTGGTAGATTTTAGTATCAACCTCCAGCAAAATAAAATTACGATTAAAACCAACAAGACGATGTTTAACCGGTTGAAGAAAATCCAGCTGCGGGTTTTTTTTTTTTTATTTTTCACGCTTATCGCATTCCTCGCTTATCTCTGATAGCTTGATTTCATTACGAAATTAACACTCTTTTGATACAACCATCATTGTTATTATTTTTAGAAGCCAGCTCTTTAAATCTACCGCTCAGTTGGTTCAGTAACTGATTACACAACTAAATTTTTGTGTATTTAGTATTTTAGTAATGTAGAAATAGTCTCCAGTAGACGCAGACGTTGCTAATAATCAGTCTATTTATTCTGTTGCAGAGTACAAATTTTCAATGTACACGCCGAGTATGATTGCAGCTGCCAGCATAGCAGCGGCACTACACGGTCTCGATTGGACTGGAAAAAGTGGTTACGGACTTGCTGGACTTCTCGATGAACTCACCCGTATCACAGCCATTGAACAGGTTTGTTCAATTTTTATTTTATATTTTTAATTCTTTTAATTATTTATTCAAAATCATCAATACAGCACCACATGTTAGAAATAATATAATGATAATAATAATAATAATAATAATTATTATTATTATTATAATACGTATGTAAATTGTATCCGGAGTTTAAGAAATAAAAAATTGTCGTAAGATATAAAGAGCAGATGCCGGGCATATGTTTTCGCGCAATATTTTTATTATAATCATTAGCAACCTTGCTGTCACTATCTGACTTGTCAACTAAAAAAAATTAAAATTTTGCTTTATTAAATAATTACTTTTGTACTTTTTTGAAGATATAAGCTCATCCTGATGTTACACTCATCAAGAGCTTTCATTTGAGTACCCACATCAATTTTTTATATATATATATGTCATATATATATATATATATATATGAAAAATTGATGTGGGTACTTAAATGACAGGTTTTGATAAATGTAATGTCAGGGTGAGCTTATATCTTTAAAAATGTCAATAGTTCACGAGATACAAGGTCATTTCTTAATTATTGACATTTTTAAAGATATAAGCTCATCCTGATGTTACACTCATCGAGACCTTTCATTTGGGTACCCACATGAATTTTTGATATATTTTTCATATATACATATATATAATATATATAAATATATGAAATATATGAAAAGTTGATGTGGGTACTCAAATGAAAGGTCTTGATGAGTATAACATCGGGATGAGCTTATATCTTTAAAAATATCAGTAGTTCACGAGATACAAGGTCATTTTTTATTTATATAAATAATTATTGTGTAAAATTCCAATAATATTGAAGAAATTAATTAAAATATTTATTTTATTTCAGGATTACTTGCAAGGATGCTTGGAACAAGTGGAGGATATGGTGTCACAGGCGCGAATGACCGGAACGAATGACCAATATCAATCTCAAAATCAAACCACCGGAATGAACACCCCTTTAAGACCGTTGGGGGATCAAAACACGAGCCAGGACAAGATAATGGAGCATGAGAAAGCGGGAACACCTACCGACGTTAGGGATGTTCACTTCTGATCCTGGCTCGTTTAATAAAATGAGTTTGTTGTGTTATAAATGAGCAGAGGGCTGAACGCCGTCTTTATTTTAAATGATCAAGCTGCTGACATTTTAAGTGCGTCGTCAGGACAACGCTCGTGTTAAACTTTCTGTCTTCTATTTATCTGTCCGTCTGACAAGCACAGACAAGTACAGACAACGCACAAGGACAGCAAGGACGTATTGGGGGAAGGCAATGCAATACGCTTTACGCATTATTATTTAAGTACACTTAATTAATTGCAAGGCGATACATGGTAGTACGATACATATTATCATTATCATTAAATATATACAGTTAGCAAAAAATTAAAAATTATAAAAAAAATAAAAAAGACATCTAAAGATGTAAAATACAAAAAAATACTATAATTTATATTATTATTCATTACATTATTATTATTTTTATTATAAACAATAGTCATATCGAGTCATCGAGGATTCTGTACATAGAAACTAATTTAACGGACCTATTATTATTTTTTTTTTATTATTAGATATAAACGTATCGCTGATTATGTTTATTTAGATGTGACATTTTTTTCGGATCGTGATTAAATGTGTGTAAGTTCGGAATGAGTGTTTGTTAAAATAAAAAGCAAGAATTAAAAATAAAACTAAGCGGTTATAAATTGTTTTTTTTTTTTTTGCGCAATTTATTTTCAGTGTTTATTATTATTATTATTATTATTATTATATAATATATAAATATATATTTAATTAAATTGGAATGAAAAGTTTGAAAGGAAAAAAAAAATGTTGAGTTGTAAATATTTATAGTATATAAAGCTTGTTCTAATTAATAAGAATTTCGTATGTTTTACTGTTGAAAAAAAAAAAATGTTTAACCAGAAAAACTGCCTCTTAAATTGTCATGATTAAAAAAAAAAAGTATTTACTAGAGGCAGCAAGTGTCTTCACAAAATATTCTGGCAAGATCTGAGTTTGAAAGTTATTAATTCAAGTAGATATTATTATAAATATCCATGAGAATTAGTTGGTACTTAAGTTTTATTCCTCTGAAATGTTATAACACACATGGAAAGAGCAAAATGGCACTGGATATCATCCCAGATTATACTCAGTGATATCTATAGTAAAAAAAAAAATTTCAGATAGTAGTTAAAAAAAATTCAGATTATACTGAGTAATATCTGGATTAGTAATCGGAAAAAATAGACCCAAAAAAATCTTAAAATTATGAAAAATTCATATTATTTCATTAAAATTATTATAAAATAAAAATTATAATAATAATAATAATAATAATATTAATTTAATAAATCTGAATTTTTCATAAATTTAAAATTTTTTTCAGGGCTATTTTTTCCGGAATTCATCTAGATTATACTCATTGTAATCTAGATTTATACTAGCTACTATCTGAAATTTTTTTTCACTCAGTATAATCTGGGATGATATCCAGTGTAATCTTGTTCTTTCCGTGCAATTGGAGGTTTTTTTTTTTTTTTTTTTTTTAAATTTACTAAAAAGAAAATTCAGCAGGATTATTTTTTTTCTCATTCTTCGTTTAATTATTGTGCAGTCAATTAATAAAAATGTAGTTTATACTTTTTTTAACCAAATTGTAGTACAATTTATAATGTGAATAATATAAATATTTTGTTTTTGGAACAAATAGTTATACAAAGTGTACCATATAGTTATAGTTATGTTATATTAGATATAAGTTAAAAAAAATTAAATTTTTTATTTTAGTTATTATTATAATATAATATTACCCATATTATTATTGTTATTTTGTAATAACGTCTGCAGATTACGTTAAAAAAAAAATATTGTGTACCTGTGAACAAGGTATTTGGAAATTCTTGTGAATTTAATCAGGTACGATTAATTCGATATAATGATCATCGTACCTTAAAAGTGAAAAATATTAATAAAAAAAAAAGCAAACATTTGAATTGAGTACTCAACAATTCCACTTAAGACTTAAATTAAATCCACAAGTTGGATTATTATTTTTTTTTTTTAAATTGAAATAAGCTATTTTGTTTTTTTTTTTTTATTTTTTTATCGTTCTCACTGATTTGTATAATTAATTAGGTCTAATTAAATATTCAGAATTATTGTGACACGTCCATTTAACTAGTTTGCAATATAACCATTGATATACCTCAAGCTCATTAAAATCTTCACATTCCTCATCAAAACGAACTGTCATCATTATATCAAACCTGGAATCACTTAGTTTTTTTTATTAAATTATAATCTAATTTTAAATATTCATATTCATTGTACATATAATTGTGAAATGTCATAGTCGAAAAATAAACTATTCGTATATAACATAAATATTTTTTTTTATTTATTAATTTCTAGTTTTACATTTTATTTATGTTTTTAATTTATTAATAAATAAGTTCTTATTTTATTGTACAAAAATTGTTTTTTTCAATGGACTGAACGGTAAATATAATTGTTCTTACAATTAAAGCTTATAATTGATTAAATATATAATCTTATGTACAGTCGACTCGCGTTATAAGCCCGGCTGTTTTTTTTTTATATCAGACTCGCGTTAATATGAGAGACACTAAGAGGGCTCATAACGCGACTCGACTGTATTTACATATCACAATATTTAGGTAATTTGTTACGATATATCGCGTTACTAATGCCACAAGGGCGCATCTCAACATCTACGCCCTTTTAGCTTCGCAGAGCTAAAAGGGCGTGTAGTGTAAAAAAGGTTCGTTCTTTTGGAATATCGCGATATAATCAGTCATAATTTTTTTTTTATATTTTCAGTCTTCTACAGAATTAAAAAAAGAATAGATTCTATAAAGATTCTATTTTTTCAAAACCAGAATATCTATAAAATTTTTAGTTGGAAATATTAAACGTGCATTTCTGGATATTAATTTCGAAAAAAAAAACAATAGAATCTTTATTATACGCCCTAATGGCATCTAAAATGTAATATGAAACTAACTATCAATTAAAATTATTTCTTTTTTTTTTTTAAATTTTAGATTATTGATATGCCATTTTTAACAATTTGTCAGAGTTTAAATAAAATTAAAAATATGAGGAGCTTTCTTCAAGCTTTGAAAGTTCCAAGTCATGCTCAACAGAGCCTGACTTTAGCTCCTGACTACAGTTAATCATGATTAATGCCAATTCAAAATATTTTTTTATTTTTGGCTCGGCTCTAAGATTGTCATTATGTCCCCTATAGCCGATACACGGCATCAGTTCTATACTGTTGAAATTGAATTACAACGGGCGTGTTTGGCCGAAGTAAGTACATACATACTTACTAGATTTAGTAATGTGATGCACCTAGTGCATCCAGCAGATGACGCTACCTGTTATCAGAGCGCTATCTATTATGAGAGCGCGAATTCAAACGAAATATTCAAATTAGTAAATATTAAATGACTAAAATTAGTTAAATAATAATATTTGAAGTAAATATTCAAATCATTTACTTAATGCTTTTACTCTTACCAGTTGTAATAAATATCTTTTGGTTAACTCTGTTTTATTTACAAAAGAAAATAAAGTAAAATAAAAAAAAAAAAAAAAAACATATTTCGGTACAAAAGGACATTGTAACCGAATTTTCAGAACCCATAAAAGGTACTTGAGTAATTCAAGGACTATTTCTCGCCACATGAAACTTAAAACCCTATTAGGAAAAGTCGTAAAAGACACGTGTGAAAAACTCAATAGACCCTTGTACTAAAGTAACAAAGAATAATAAAAAAACCATATGTAACTAAATAAAAATAATATTGTTATAAATAACATTTACTGTTAAAATCTAACTTTATATAATATTGTAATTAAGCAAAATTGAGTTGAAATAATTAATAATTATTACTTAATTAATTTATTATTAAATCATTATCTAATTATTATTTAATTTATAATTAAATAATAATATCTATCCTTTTATACATGATAATAATTAAACTTACTTATAATTTTATTAGAAAATCCAATTGTAAAATGATAGAAATAATATTTAATCCAAATTATTAATTATTCAAACTCAAACATTAGTCCAACATATTATAAATAGTATAATATTTATACTTTCATGTTATAGTTTATTATAATTTTATTGTAATTTAATTTCAAGTTAATTATAAGTTAATTTTATTACAAATAGATTTTTAAAGGGTTTATTAAATTAATAAAAATAGTTAGATATAATAACTGTATTGCTAAAAGTGTATATTAGTGAAGTCCAACTTTCAGGCCGATAGGCTGAAATAATAAATATATACTAGGAATTTAAATTGCGCGCATACGCGCGCGATCTAATTCTGAACGTTATTTCGATACACTCTAAGCTAACTTCAATCTAAATCTCAACCAATTAAGGAATCAGGGTCCATGTTTTCGATACTAAGCTAACTTCATTCTACCATCAATTTTAGTATATAGGAAAATTCGCCCATCCGAAAAAAAAGAATACCAACTGCGCAACGCGGGAAATTTATTGTGACACTAGCGCCACTAGTGGCAGTTATAAGTACAATATTTTTAAATTTTGATTAGTAAAGTTATAATTTTATTATTGTAAAATGATTGAAGATTAAATGAATTAATAATTAATTATTTAAAAATTAATTATATTTTTTTTATTAGTATTATAAGTAATAAACAAATTTTTAAAATAATTTAATGTTTTTTTAAATTAAAAATCTTAGAAAATTATCAAATATGTCGGAAAAAATGTCTAATTAGAAAAAAAATGTATGTTAGTATTTTTTAATCCAAAATAAATTAATTTATATATTTCTAAAAGTGACAATCAGTTGATTCAAATAAATAACTGTGTTATTTTGAGTAGAAAAAAAAATAAGAGTTTAATTTTTAATTAGTAAGGACTAATTGCAAGACAAATATAATAAAATTGTAAATAAGAATGTATGCAAAGGATTATCAGCGAGATGTTGATCATTTGATTTGCGATTCTGTCACGGGTTTGATATTTGATCTGCGTAAAAAGTGTAAAAAGTGTAAAAAGTCTCCCCGGAGAAAGAATTGTAGTTTAAATAAATAAGTGGGGGTAGATAACTTCTAGGTTAACTCGCGGACTAGAGTGACAATTTATATATATACTTGCCGAGGTGACTATATACGCCAGTAAGTAGTACTTTTTAATGTCATTATTGACATATTATTGTTATTATTAATTATAAAGTACTATTATTATTATTATTATTATTATTATTTAAACAAAAACATTTTGGACATAGATTATTTTATTAATTCTTAGACTGTTTTATCTCCGAGATCACTCAAGATGGTTGTCATTGTCAATTAAGATCACCTTTAATAAACTTTATAAATAAAAAATATATAAGTACATAAATAAAATACTTGATAAGTACTTCGCCCAGAAATTTAATTCACCTGATCAGTCAAAGCAAAGGTTTCAGTATTATATCCTGTCCTAAAAATAATTCCTCAGTGAACATGAATAAAGTCTAAATATAAGTAACAAGTGGTGAAAATCAGGTAAATACTGGATAATAATGAATTTGTTTTGTAATAAAACTATCGATGTCTGTTAATAATTTAACTATAACCTCGAATTAATATGTCAAGGCTCTCACTTCGAATAACTGTGTTTTATTTATTTTATTTATACGTTTGAAATAATATAATATTTTAAAAACAAATAAATAGAATGATGACAGACAGAAAAAGAAGTTCCTCGGTTAGTTTTACACCCGGTCGAGAAGATGACAAAGATGAGATCCAAATATCACTGGCTCCGTATATACAAAACTATTTAGCTCACAGCAGACAGGGCACTGGATGCTGTGGAATAGGTCTTCCTATACCGTTTGAAAGAGCAGCTAGACAGTCCTGGTGGAATCCAAAGTTTGATTCTGAAATTCTTGAAGATCAGTACAGAAGAAGTGCTTTTCCCCAGCTTCGTCTGCGGTTCAGGTAGTTACTTAACATTAATTTAATATTTAACTTGTTCATGTTTAAAATATTTAAATAAATTAATCTTGTGAAAATAAAGTTAGCCATCTAAAAACTTTTATAATTTTTTTTTTATTGAAAAAATTATTACAAAAAAATTTCATTTGTAAAAAACTTTAAAAACTGGCAGTGCAATTTTTAAAAATATTATTTTAGTCTTAATTTAATTAATAAAAAAAAATCAAAAATTGTTTAATGTCTAACTTTAATATCATGAAAATTAAATTAGCCATTTGAAAATTTTTATAATTATTTTTATTGAAAAAATCGTTACAATAAAATTAAAAGAAAAAATTTCACTTGTAGACTTGTAGAAAATTTAAAGAATTATAAGTGCAAATTTTTTAAAGTACTTTTTACTTGCAATTTAATAGAAAAATTTTTGAACGTCGGTTAACTAGTATCATTTAATATCATGGAAAATTCTTATAATTTTTTTTTTTTTTTTTTTTTTTTTTTTTTATTTATTTATTGCCCAGATTCCCAATATAAATTTAAATATTTCCAAATTTTAATTTTCAGATACGCACTGGTGTATATATTATTGACATCACTGTCCTGGCTGACGTACTTCTCGGTAACGGGGCTGGAAAAAAACCCAGAAATAAATTACAGCAAGCCATCAACATGGCTGATATCTTTGATAATATTTACAATAATAATAGTAACAATTTCTTCAGCTCTAGTCCTGACCTACACCAAGTACTACCGATCAAACATGATGATGACATCCGTGGGAGTGTCGACCTTGCTATGTGTGCTATCACTCTCATTTCTGATACTAGTACCTCCAGCCAGTGGGCTGACTCTGGTAGGACACTTTGCACTCTGTGGAGAAATACTACTGCTTATTTACACGGTAATTCCGCTGCCCTTGTACGCCAGCGTCGGTCTCTGTACTCTGTACTCAATTTTATTTGAAGTGTTGAACGCAAGTTTGTACGACAAGATCCGTTACTCTACAGAGAACGGCAGAAATTTAAAAATGGATTTTAGCACGACGTTGATAATAAGAATTTTAATGCAAATATCTATCCACATAATTGGAGTTCATATTTTAATAATGACCTTCGTGAGGATGAGAGGGACTTTCATGAAGGTGGGGCAATCCCTTTTGGTGCGCAAGCAGTTGGAGATGGAAAAGCAGCTCAAGGAGAAGATGATCCACTCGGTAATGCCTCCGAAGGTCGCAGACTGGCTGATGGAAGAGAGCGAGCGGGAGAGAGAGCGTGAGGACTCCCTGAAGAAGGGCTCGATACCCTCGAATAACACCGCCGACATCAGGTCGTTGTTTCGTCCGTTCAACATGCACTCTATGGAAGACGTCAGTATTTTATTCGCGGACATTGTGGGATTCACCAAAATGAGCTCGAACAAAACTGCTGAGGAGCTTGTTGATATTCTGAATGACTTGTTTGAAAGGTTCGATGACCTTTGTGTCCAACATGGCTGCGAGAAAATTTCCACCTTGGGTGATTGCTATTACTGTGTCAGCGGGTGTCCAGAGCCGAGGTCAGACCACGCGAGGTGCTGCGTCGAGATGGGTCTCGCGATGATCGAAGCGATTAATCAGTTTGATATTGAGAGAAGGGAGGGAGTTAATATGAGAGTTGGTGTTCACACTGGAACGGTTCTCTGTGGGATTGTTGGAACTAAGAGGTTCAAGTTTGATGTTTGGTCTAATGACGTTACTTTTGCTAATAAACTGGAGAGCACCGGGAAACCTGGGAGGGTTCATATCAGTGAAAAGACTTTGAGCTTTTTGGGAGAGGAATATTTGACTGAGCAAGGTGATTGCGTCAAGGGTAGGTAAATAATCTTATTTTTTAAAAATAAAAATTTAATAAATTATTTATATATTGATTAATCAATTCCTTTATTAAATAATGAATTTTGTTAAATTGCACTGTACTTTCTTAACTATTGACATTTTTAAAGATATAAGCTCATTCTGATGTTACACTCATTAAGAGCTTTCATTTGAGTATTCACATGGCAATTTTTATATATTTTATATATATGGTATTCCTGATATATATATATATATATATATAAATATATAAAATGAGTGTAACTTCTGAATGAGCTTATATCTTCAAAAATGTCAATAGTTCACAAGATACAGGGTCATTTCTTAATTAATGTGTCTAGAGAGAGTATTTTCGAATGCAAACCGATTTTATCATATGATTATCCTGGACACCAAATTTTTCTTATTCTTTTAATAATATAGATTAATATATTATTTTTTAATAAATAAATATATTTTCAGGAGTCAAGACTTACTTCATAAGAGCAAGAAAAACAGATTTGATAAACCAGTTTATGACGAGCGTAACAGCACCAACGAGCTACTCGCCGTTTATCAATGCCAGGCAGCGTCTTGCGTCTTGCAATAATCAGTCCAAAGGAAAACATTATCTCTACATGGTGACAAACGCCAATAGCCATAAAATAAAAGCCAACTCCTTGCCGAGCATCCTGGATTCTGAAAATGATTATGATGAGGAGAACGACAACGACAATAACAGTGATAGGAAGGACGATGTCAATAAGAGTCCGCTGTCTACTGCAAGTTGTGGGAAAAAAAAGTCAAAAAAGCCCTGGAGATATTTGCATAGACAGAGAACTACCGGGGACATGGATATGAGACGCTCCGAGTCTAAGGAGTCTGAGGAGCGTAATGGATTCAATGGAGTCAGTATTTTTATTTTTATATTAATTTAATTTTAATAAATTAAATTTGATTTATTTATTTATTTATTGTAAAATATTTTACTAATAGGTTGTAGTCGAGGGCATAGAAATGGACCCAAATCCAGCACCAGCTAGCCCTCTGTTACCTCGCGATGATGTAATGAGTCATCACTCGTCATCGATTTGCAGCAGAAAAGACTCCGGAATACGCAGCAACAGCCGCAGAAGTAGTATACAACAGCAGGTAATTTATTCATTTGTTATAAAATTATAATAAATAAATACAATGTGCTTGTTTCTGAGTTGAGTAATTATTTATTATTCATTACAGCTGTTTCTTATGAACGGAATGGCCCAAGGAGACTTACTAGGTCACAGAGTCAGCGGTTATTACACCTCAAGCTCGACATTAAATTCACTTCAAGATCCTCCGTCGTCAGCGCCGAATTTTCCATTTCCGCCAATTCTTACCGATACATTCGGGGTTTGTTTTCATAAATTACGCAAACAATCTGATCTTCAATTAATAAGGTAATTATTAATATTAATTTTTTAGAGCAATTCAAAAAATTAAATTAAATCAAAATTATAAAAATTGAAAATTTTTTCAGATGCGTCCAAGACAATGTGAGCTCCCAGAGCTCTTATTTCGTGACTCCACCACTATCAACAGTAACCCTGTTCTTTAAAAACAAAGAAATGGAAAAAGAGTACCGCGAGAATGCCCACAAAGCCTCTGAATCCCTAGGAGACAGCCCACCAACTCTAGCAACCGCAAGATTCAACACCTACTTCGACATTCTGGTCTCAGCGATAGTCTACACAGCAATAACAATTTCCCTATTCCTGCTCGGCAAGCCAACAATTTACTTCATAGTCTTCAGCGTGATCGCGACTCTAATTCAAGTATCTGTCGTCGTGCTCTGCATTCGCCAACTAGTAGACCCTTACTCGTTATACGCAACGTACACCCAGATGATATTCAGTTTTTTTACGCGGTGGTACCCTTGGCACGGCTGTGGCGCTCTTCTAGTCGGCTTACCGATAATCTCCATTCTGCTGAACTTGTGCTGTAACAACAGCTACCGAGTAACGCTGATAAACTTTGAGTATTACTATAGCTACCTGATGTTCGTCGGTCTGATACACTTTTGCAATTTCACCCAGTTGAATTGTTGGATGAAAAACTTTTTGGTGACTCTCTCAGCTATACTATTTATCACTTTAGTTGTCAGTAATATTACCGTCAGTACTTATCTAATTAAAAATGATATTTCTCAACACAATAAATCTCTCAATGGATTGAATCTCAGTTTCAATGAATTAAAAAGATTACCACGAGATATTATACCGATAGTGCCTGTAGCGAATGATATTGAAGTTACTGACAAAATATTACCCACAACAACAGTAATTACTCAGAGTAATGTAATTAATGAATCAACAACTGTAAAATCAAACTCAGATGAGATAATAATCTCAAAAAGATCTGATTCTTACAATGAACGGTTGTACAAACAAGAAATATTCCTAGATATTATGTTGCTGTTATTTTTGGTCTGGTTTTTAAACCGAGAGTTTGAAATAAGCTACCGATTAAGCTTCCACGGCAACGCGGTAGCAGCGGGAGATAAAACCCGGGTCCAAGCAATGAAGAACCAAGCCGACTGGCTTCTGCACAATATTATCCCCAAGTACGTAGCCGACCAGCTTAAAACAACCGCTAAGTACTCGCAAAACCACAAATCCGTGGGGATAATCTTCGCGAGCATAGTCAACTTCAACGAGCTGTACGATGAATCTTATCTGGGAGGCAAAGAGTACCTGAGAGTGCTCAACGAGCTGATAGGAGACTTTGACGAGCTGCTGGAGAAACCAGAGTTCAGCAATGTCGAGAAGATAAAAACAATTGGCAGCACCTTCATGGCCGCCAGCGGACTCAATCCGCAGGTTAGGCAGCAAAATAAACATGAATATTGCCACTTGTTTCAGCTGATAGACTTTGCCATGGCCATGCAGAAGGTCATCTATGACTTCAACAGAGACTTACTGGGGTTCAAGTTGATTTTGAGAGTCGGGTTTAATTATGGAGACGTTACTGCGGGAGTTATTGGCGCTACTAAGCTGTACTATGATATTTGGGGCGATGCTGTTAATATCGCTTCGAGGATGGATTCTACTGGTGTACCCGGGAAAATTCAATTTGCAAGCAATTGTGTGGATGTTTTGAGCGAAAAGTACGAATTTGAACCCCGTGGGCAGGTTTATGTCAAAGGAAAAGATAATATGGACGTTTTTTTACTGTCCAGAAAGAAATCTGATGATATTAATGGCACCGGGGTTATTTGAGGTTCGCTCAAACCTTCGGAATATCGAAGGAACTCTGTTTTTAAGTATGTCAAGGTTAAACTTGACCAAGCGGGGATACTTATGTATTTATGTGTAGGCAGTAGGCATTATGTTAAAGAAGAATTTGTTTAATTTCATTTAAATGAGCAGTTTTGTGCCGTATTTTTATTGATAAATTATTTTTTTACGGGTTAGTTTTTCAAGGTTGTATATACATAGTTCAGACTATAATACTATTGTAGAAAATTTTTAAAGAAAAAATCTAAAAACACGGCATTGAGTTTGTTATAGATAAAAAGATAATTAAACTGAAATACTTTTTTACTGCTCAAGACTTTACACAACGGCGGACTATCATCTGAGGTAGTCTCTGTATCTGACTGCAAACAAACGAAGAATACAAAGTGTAATTATATATTATCAATTGATATTTATTTTGAGATATTTTTTATTGAAAAACTATTTAAAGTGGATAAATTTTTTATTTAACTGATACTAAATCCGCTTATCGCAAGTACAAAATACGAGAGAGAGAGAGAAAGAGAGAGAGAGAGAGAGAACGAGAGAGAACGAGAGTGTGAATAAGAGAGAGAGAATCGTTTAAATGTTTGTAAGTTATGTATTTTTGCTTTATTTATTCCGACCGATTCCGATGGATAGTTATTTTAAATCTCTCGTATCAAAGCATGCACAAGATTACGAAGTAACAAACATTCATCGAAATAGATAAAAATTTTATTTACCGTGGAATTATGCCGTATTTTAATTATATATATATATATATATATAGATATGTCAGTCTTATATAGATATGTATTTATATCGTCTATGTATAATTGTTTTAATAGTAAGTAAGATATTGAATTTTTGAAATTGTATTAACTTACAATCGTGGACATTAATTTAATTATGTTTTTAAATTTACTGAAAATTAGCCATTTTTTAATTAAAATGTTTTTATAAATTTCTACACTGAAAAAAAATAACTTGATTTAAAAGAAAAATTCTTGAATCAAGTAAAATTTCTTTAAATCAAAAAAAATTTGCGTTAAATTAATAATTTTTCTATTCAAATCAAGAATATTGAGTTCTTCAAAATTATATACTTGATTCAAGAATATTTTTTTTCTGTGTAGTAATTTTTGAACGGATCGACGAATTAAAAAATAATTTGAGACATCTAAAAGGACTTCCATAAATTTATATTTAGTGAAATTTCTATTTAGTTAATTTCAATTTTTATTTGCGACTAATTTTACAAATTACATTATCAATTTAAAGTTAATAAACGTCCTAGTTTACAAACAATTATTTTCCATTAATATTAAAAACATATTTAAATTAATAACCAAAATTGTACTTTAAATTATAATTTTAATAATATATTTCGCTATAGCGAAACATTCCAACAAAATTAAATAACAAAAAAATTCGTGCCATAAAATAATTTTTTTGGTGGAAAATTACGTGTTCATATCACAATTTAATTAGTGATAAAAAATTAAATAATTAAGTGCCTGTGTTGCCGAATAATGATATCACTCCAAAGAAATAATAATAATAATTATTATTACATTGCATTTTTTACATGCCAGTTGAACAATATATGTTGCCTTATATATTATTAAATATATTGATATTGATATTAACAACTGATATTCACAGAATTTACCATTAAAATGTACTTTCCTCAACTCAGGGGTGTCTTGCCCGTATCTCAATTAAATTTTAATAAATAAATAATTGTATTAATGTTTCTAAAATTCTTCGACGTCTGAAAGTTGAATTTGATATCAATCTTCTGGTACTTTTAGGCGCTAAAGCCATCACACTATGTCATAATCATAATCTTATACACTTAAAATAATGTACAATTTATTAAAAAAATACTTATATTAATGTTATGTATACACATTTTATTGTTAATCGTATTTTATAAATAAAAAATAAAATAAACTTTATCGAATTTAATTGTTGATGTACAAAATTTTATTCTACTTGTTAAATATATTATTTTTAAAAACAATTTATTAATTAATTAATTATTATTGTAACTATCAATTTTATTTGGGGTAAATACAAATAGGGGTGCTGAAAAATTAAAACTCACATTATTGGGGTAAATTTTGGTCAATAAATACAGGAATGCTATAATAAAAAATGTAAATTAATATTCCTAAAATTAATTGTAGTTAATAAATAGGGGAGGTGCTGTAAAAAATTAAAATTGATCTAAAGAACATTATTGGGAAGTAAAATTTTAGGGTAATTAAATTGAAATTAATAATAAACATAATCATAAATAATAAAATAAAGAAAACAATAAATGATGGATAAATAAATAATAAAAATACTTATAACAAATCCTTTGCTGATCCTTTTGGTTAGTCCTTGTTGGTTCTTTCGGAAAGTCCTGGAATCCTCCTCGAATCGTCGAATCCTCTATCGATAGCTGCGTCCTTAGTTCCCTTGGTTGAATCCTTGCATCCTTGATCCTTGGTCCTCTCATCTGTACACACGGAGCAATCACTTATGAGTAAGTTTATAACACTCATTTGATACACTTATACGTATATCATTCACTATATTAATTCTTGCGTAATCCTTACATTGAATCCTTGGTTAAATTATTCTATCCCTCGGTGACTCCTTTAGTTTTGTGGTTTGGTCCTGGGGTTCTTGGGTCCTTTAATCCTGTAGATTCCTGTATTGTTGGCTGCGTTGACTGGGTTCCTTGAATCCTTGAGTCCTTGAATCCATAATCTATTGGGTCCTGCATCCTTGGTCTTTGGTCCATCCATCTGCACACACGGAGCAATCACTTGTGAGTAACTTTTTAGCACTCACTTAATACACTAATAACATTCACTATATTAATTAAAATTCTTGTGTAATCCTTACATTGAATCCTTGGTTGAATTGTTTTGTCCCTCGGTGAATCCTTTGGCTTCGTCGTTTGGTCCTTTGATCGTGGAAATACCTGTATAAACACTATTAACAGTCCCCTTTTTTTACCCTCTCGATTTTTCACTAGTTTATAAGAATAATAATAACTTAATAACGAAAAGAATCAATTAATGCGAAGCTTACTGATGTATTGAGCGTTGGGCCACCGATTAGTCGATCAATCAACCTCAGATCTTACCTCAGAGTCCGTAATGACTAATAGGCCATTTTGCTTGCTATCAAACCGGTTGGAAAGCAGATCACCGAATCGATTTTCACACCGAGAATCATTCAAAGATCCTCACAGTAGAATAATACTTGTCTGGGGTGAGAAACAAGGTGACGTCGAACCGCCCGGAGGGTTACGCTCGTATATCAGAACTTATCGATTAATGATTCACGGACGAACAAATTAAAAATATTCACGGTAATTGTCAATATCGAATGATGAGGTTGTTAATGAATGTCCAATCGATTCACAAATCGATAAAAAAGCGGGCAACAAATTGATCGCAAAAGTATTGAGAAATACTTTAGCGATTCTATTGTATGTGCTCGCACGAGTGACTCGAATTTATTTATTTATTAATTTTTTAGCAATGAAATTAATTATGAAGAAAAAGCTATGGTAACCAGTCTATTGAAGTGTAATGAGGGGTTGGTTTTGTCTGAGTTGGCTCTCACGACAAAGGGAAGGTATGAAGAAAAGAAGTGACTCTAGTAGGCGCGATCAGTTTCGAGAAAATTAATGACTCTATTTTATGTAATTATTTAATTACAAAGGGAGGGTACAGAGGTGGTAAGTGTATGTGTGAGTGAGTGTGTAAAGTAGTGGGTGATATAGAAACCGAAGACCGCGAGAATGAATAGTGAAAATGAAACGCGAACCGCGAAATCGGCTAAGTGGTATACTAATTATTTTCATTAAAAATACTACTCGCCAGGCAAAACAGGGTAGTTAGTATCAAAATTATTTGAATTAATTATTATTATTATTATTTGCAATGTCGTTCAATAAATTTTAAGACTTGGAAAACAAAAGAATTGATCAGAGAAGATTAAAAAGGGATTAAACCGTCACCCAAATCGCGTCCGGGCACTCAAGGGGTGAACATGATTAATCCCTAATGAATCCGCAAGGATCAGTATTAATTTGTTTTCCCAGGAAGAACTTATATACAAGATGATGTTGCGCACCATCATCAAGTAACGTTACTTCGCGCCTTGTCAAAATTTACTGAGCCGACTGACTCTAAAACTAACTCCCCGTGTAATTAATAATTGTTACTTGAAAACGCACAAAACCACTGAACCGATTAAAATCCCAATTTTTTAATTGACGGAACGACATGATAATTTAATTAAACGGACGAATGAACGGAAAACTCTCCCTAAAAGAGTGTGAGTATATTCTCTTAGGAAGAGCCGGAAGTTTGTGTGTGTGTGTGTGTGTGTTTGTATGTGTGTTAGGGCGGGTTGATTCTAATTGAATAAAAAAATGCTTCTAAAATTTATTAGAAACTGACCGTGAATTAAATAAGAGTAGAAGAAGATAGAAGTGGGTATGAGGTAGGGTAAGATGTGTGTGTGTTTTAGATACAATTAATAATTATCAATCAACCGATCGATTAATGAAGTAAACAGTTATTAAATTATATATAAAAATTAAAATCAATTTTTTATGAATATCGCGTCTTACTATAGTTAAGTTATACTTCTTGTTTCATAAAAGGACACCCAGGTTATGTTGAAAAATTTAGTGTCTGACTAAAATAATTCTATACTACTTAATTCAAAGAGACACTCGGATTTTGTTAAAAAAAATTTAACGTCTGACTAAAACAATTTTATACTACTTAATTCAAAAAAAGACACCCGGATTAGAGAAAGAGAAGTAACAATCATTGCCATTCAGTATAAACTGGTATTTTATTTTTTTGTCAGTCATTAAACAACTTAACTAACATAATAATGTCATGAGAAATAAATTTTGATTGAAATTTTTTAAATAACTTACCACTAAGCGATACTTCAGTAAAATTTCTACAGGAAAA